TGAACAAAAATATTTAGTTTAAAATTCATTTAAATATTTTTGAAAATGAAACCAAAAATTATTAATTAATTTAAATAAAAATGAAATTGTAATATTATAAAATATATAATGAATGAATACCTTTATCTGTTTCATCAGGATTAGTTTTAACTCTATGTGAATTACGATAAGAGTTTTAATTAGAAACTCCTGAAGCTTATGAAGAAGGGTAATACTTTTTTTCTTTATCTTTACTGGCTTCTTAAATTAAAAGAAGATATAACTGGTTCAGTTCTTATTTCATAGCATGATCTTGTAAGAGTCTAATTAATAATTCATTCTCTGTATAGTCAGCTTTATTTTAGTGATAATTAGATTATCTATTAGTTGATTCCTAATTTCCTTCATTTCCATCTAAACTTTTATCTTCATATTAATCTAATTTCATTTATTCTTATTTAAATGAAATTTATATTTAAAATTTACCTTCATTGTTTTTTATGAGGATATTGTCTATTTCTTCGTGTGAATTCATTTTTACTTCTTCGTTTTAAGGATTGTTAAATTAATTTTATACTGAAACTTGCATTTGATGATCTGCATTTTCTTTTTTTTCATTCTAATAAATCTTATTTCCAGATTAACTTAAAGATTAATCAGCAAATTAATTGCCAAATAATTTATTTTAAAAACTACTCATTAACTCATTTTTATATTCTTCAGTTATTTATTAGAGTTAACTTAGGAATTTCATGCTTTGTTCTTTATCCATGTTAACATTTTATGCATTTTATAATTGAGATGAGAATTAGGCAAATTTCTATATAACTAATTCTTTAAAACCTTAGAGGTCTTGCTAACTTTGAATATTATCATAATTTTGCTATTTGTTCTATTTATAATCTATATAAAGAATTAAATAAAATTAATAAAAGTAGAAAATGTTGTTTATAAATTACCTAATGTATTTTGATTATACTATTGCTGGCTAGCTTGGTGATAGGAATTTTTGCTGCTTCCTTATTATAATTCTTAATCTTATATACTGTTATTATTAGGGTTATTATTATTATAATTGTTGTAGTTTATATCACAATTTGTGTTGGGAGATCTAGATTATGAAGAGTCCTCCTCTTTAACAATAGAAGGAATTTATTTGTTTCCTTAAACAACATGAGCCAATACATCTGGAAAAGAATTTTTGTATTGATCATCATTTTAGTCATTTACACTTACTATTGATGATTTAATAGTGGAGATATTTATAACCTTATCTTAATTATCTCCATAATCTACATCCTTATTGTTATTGTAAAAATCATTTAATTCAATTTTCTCTTGCTTTTGCAGCCAATTAGAGTTTAAAACCAATTGCTAAATTTTAAAGTTAAAATATTAAATTAATTTAATGTAATTCTATTAATATTAAAGATATATATATATATAATATGTTTATTTTTACATGAAAAATCTTTCTTGCTTTGTAGCCTCTCCATAACTTTTATATCTACGTTGCCGATTGATTTAAGTATTATACTGCAATAAAATAATAATCTTAGTCTGTATATTCACCATTTTCAATGAAATCATCCTGATAGATTTCTTCAACATCATCTAAAATTTATTTAAATAAATTTACTGAGTTAAAATTAAAAAAAATTACTATCTTATTTCATCTGAAGATGCTCGTTTGCTGAAAATGCAGGGATTGTAGTATGATTTTCTGATGTTTTTTGAATTAATTAATTAGGATTTTGAGTTGTAGTCGATGTAGTATTAACTCCATTAGTGTTTACTTAATTATCATCGTTTATTTTAAAAGCCTTTTTATTTTAAATTGATTAAGATCCGTTTTTGTAGCCATCTTTCTTTGGTTAATTTTTAATTAAATTTTCATCTTATTAAATTTAAGGAGATAGGCTCTATCTTTGCAATTCAGTCTATTCCTATTTTAATTTATTAATAAAACATAAGTCAACTAATATTTAAATTTATTAATAAATCTAACAAATAATTTTATGTTTTTTTTTTATTTAATTTAATCAAGTATTTTAAATCTCTAAATCTGAAAAATATTATTTTTTTTTTAATATTTGTAAAATAGCAAATTTTTTGAGTTGATTTAAAATATATCGATTTTTTTTTGAATGTAAATTATATAAACAAATAGCGAAAAATGTTAAAAATATCTTTTCATATTTTTATTGGGTTGAATAAAAATAAAATTTAGTTCAAATTTAAACAATTTTATTTGATTTATGGTTAAATAAATTAAAGCAAAAGTAAGTAATTGATTCAGATTTCAGATTAAAATTTTAATATTTACATGATTAGTAGTTGGACTTTAATTGTCAAGAAGCTTTTTAAATCTGTTAGATAAGTCATTGAATTTCTACTTCATAACCTAGGCTCTATCCCTTCCCCTTAAATCATTAAAATCATTATCAGAGTAATTTTCCTTAATTGTATCCTACAAGCCAGATTTTTTGTCTTTTTTGTTAGATTAGATTTAGCTTTTCATTTTTTAATTTGATTTAGTATAGTTTTTAGTTTTAATTCCATCATTTGCATTATTAGTTGAGTTAGAGGGATGGTTATCCTTTTTAATTTTTAATAAAAAATAAAAATAAAAAAAATTTTTATTTATTTGATTTGAAATTGTAATCAGCCAAAAAGTTATATTTATAAAATCAAAAGTAATTAATACTAATTGGCTATATTTATTGAAGAAGAAGGTTTTTTATAAAGATTCGTTCATCATTTTTTTGTATTCCTCCTATAGGTAAGAATAGTTGTTTTCTTCAGTGTTATCAATAGAATCTATTGGGATAGATTCTAGATTGCAAACATTTTAGCTAGTTAAATTATTTTAACAAAAGCTGTCAGAACTTGTGAAATGATAGTTTATAGGTCCTTAGGTTCCATTAGTTTCAGTTAGCTGAGAAAGGTAATGAGGGTTCTTTTAAATAAAAAATTATTGTTAAATGATTATTGAAATGCTAACAAAGTAATCTTACTAGTTTAAGAGAAGGATAAGCTGCTTTGCTTTTTATAGATTTACTGCTTGAGTGTTTTAATCTCTTTAAAATATTTTTTATATTTGATTCAAGGATGTACTTATTCTCTTTGATTTTAGTTATTTTTGATATTTTTTCTTAGTTTTTCATCATATTATTTTATTCATATATGCTTTTCTTATATACCATATACTTGTGTATCTCCTACAACCTTTATGCATCTAATAAATGCTTTTCTTTATAGTTATTTGATTAAGTTAATTTAAATTCAAAGCGCTATTATTAAATAAATAAAAGTTACTTTTTGTTTTCATTTCTTATTCAAACTGAGAATTCTAACTATTTATTTACTTAGCTTTTTCTTTACTTTCTAAATTAAATTAAAACATAAAAGTTAAATTAAACAAAAAAAATATAATTATTTTAATATACTTTGAACAATTTATTCAACAAATGAGTCATTTTTATCATTCAAAAAACCTAATCCAAGTCTTTCTCTTCTTTATTTTTCTTAGTACTCCCTAATTGTAATATGTTTTTAATTATTAACATAATTGGTTTGAAATAAGTTAAATTTTTACTTCTTTTGCATTTAGATTATTTGTAATGTGTTTGAGCTAATTGGTTCTTCATTTTCAGATTTTTAGTTTTTGTGCATTTTTTGTTGGTTTTAAAATACATTTAGCTTTTGTTAATTAGCTCCCCAAGGTAATTTATGATCAACTTGGATAGGAGAGAAGGCATTTATATGGTTTATTTATTGAGCAGTAGCTGAATTTTATTAGCTGGAAAATTGTTAATTATTTTAATCACGTTTAGGACTTTTTTATGAATTTAATTGTCTATACTTTTCGTTTATTTCTTAAAGGTACTAAGATTTTCTTAAGCGTTCTTCTTGCTCTTGCTTTTACTTTTATAATTAAATCATTTTTTGTAATTTTTACTTTTATAGATTTTGATTTATTAATTCTTAAGCATTATAAAGCTTTTCGCTTTAGTTTTTAGCTCTAACAGAGCTTTCAATGGAATATTACTAGCTTTTTGTTTTATCAAGACTATTTTGTTAAGTTTTTGAAACTTCTTCGCTACTAAAATGATTTTAGTTCTATGAATGATTTTCTAAATTGTCTGAAGATTTTATGCTATTGAGCTTTTAATTTTGTTTTAACGACTTTGAGATTTGATGAAAATTGTCAGTAGATACCTATAAGTGAGTGCTATATGATTTATTTTGAGATCTGCTTGGAGATTAAGAAGTTTTAAGGTATTTTCTTTTTTAACTTGACCTTTACTTACGCTTTTAGCTTCTAGACTGAGAAGGTGACTTGCTCTTGTAATTTTATTCTCTATTTGAAGGTGATTTTCTACGAGATTTTTTCTTTTTCTTTGAATCTCTTTTAATTTTATTTTCTTCGTTTTCTTACTCATTATATATTTTCTCAGATTATCTTGATATTTATTTACTACTATCATAATTTCCTTCCTCTTCTTATCTGCTCTCTATTTAGTTATTACCAAGAGTTTTCTAATTTTCTTAAGTGTTTGAAACTCTTGTTGTTTGACTTATAGGTGCTGTATTTTCATAACCTCTGCCATTTCCTTACTATTGATTTTAATCTTTGTTTCCCTTTTATAAGCCAAAGTCTATCTCATTTTCATTTTATTCGTTTCTTTCTTAGTAGCTTTACAGCAAATGAGTAACATGCTAGTCTTTTTTGCATTAATCTTCATCTAAAGTAAGCTAACTAGCATTGTGTAATTTCGATTAGTTAGAAATACTATTATTATTTAAGTTTTTATTTGTTTATTTATTATTTTTCACACTGCTGTTGATATTGAGAGCTGAATAAGAAGTTGATTAAGGAGACTAAATCGTAAAATTATTTTTAGAAGATTCAGTTTTTTTCTTTTTCTTTTTTGCTATTCCTTAAGTTGCTCCATTACTGCTACTGTTTTGAATACTCTTTTTTGATTTCTAGCTTAATACTTAATATTAATGGTAAGTACTATTTGGTGAATTAGCTTGTAAATGGCTTGATTAATTATTAATACTCTCATTGTTTTAAATTATTGTTAAATTTTAGTTTAACTGTGAATGGAGTTTCTAAGCTGAAGGAGTATTTATATTCTATACCTTTTCATCATTATTCTCTCCTAATATTTGAGAATTCACCTTTTACTAAGTATCTGTATTATTTTTTTAGGATTAAAGCTAAAGAGCTCTTTTAGATATATTAGTTTTATTTGCACTTGATTACATCGAAACTACTTAGCTTCCATTACTTACAGCAGCAGCTGTAGCTGATTGTCTTTTTTTAACTTTCGGTGATGCAAAAAAATTAGGAACTTTACTATTGTTACTATTTTACGAAGTGCTAGTCAGAATTTAAGAAGAAATCGGTTGATTCATAGAATTATTAATATTTTAAGGAGTTTTTCTTTAGTTAGACTACGAGCTATTGCGTATTTTTGTAATTTACTAATTGCTGATATTGTTGGTTGATTAATTTTATCCTTTTTTTTAAGAAGTTGTGCTTTATGGACCTCCTTTTATAGAGATATAATTAAAAGGGTTTATGTACGAAGAAGAGCAATCATAGTCTATTGAATTTGAAAGGTGAAGCATATTATTTGCTTTTATATGTGAGCTTCTATTTAACTTGGTTGGCTAAGTTAATAAATTACTTTTTGTTGGTGGCAATATTGAAGAAGAGCTGCTTTTGCTCATTTAATTAATTTGAACACCATTCTAATTATTCATACTAATATTATTTTATTTGTTTGTTAAACTAGTATTTGTTTGTGCATTCAGCAGTTTTTAAGAAGCCTACGTATTCTACAAATTAACTATTTTTTTTAATTTTTCTTGCTATTGTTGTAAAGAAGATCCTTTTTTTTAATTGTGTGATGTCTTAGGAGATAAACTTTACTTAATATCTGTATACTGATTAATATGCAATTGCTATAATGATTGCTGGTGACCTAACATAATTATATCATCCTCACTAGTATTAAACTAATGACTTCTCCAATGAAGCTTTTATTGGTTTTTTTTTGTCTCCTAACATTCTATCACCTAAGGAAAACGCTCTTTTTGATTTAAAAATTTAAAAGCTTTAAATGATATTCGCATTTATCTAAAATTTTGCATTATTTGAATGCTAGACATATCTTTTTGCAACTATCATTTTAAATAATCTAATTAGAATGAGAGTTAATAATAACTGGACAATCCTTTTAAATTATCTTATCAAAGTTGGCAAAAAGGCCTCTAAATTAAAATTTATCACTATAGTAGAAAAATATTATGAATATTTTACTAACATTATCTGAATTTCTGGAATCAATTACTTGGGAGTTAAGCTATGAGTTTATCTTCCTTCCTGAATAAATATCTTTCCTAATTTTAAAAAAGTATATTAAATTCCTTTTGAAACATTCAAAATGCCTAAAAATTATCTAGATTTTGAGTTAATATAACATGTGAAATAGTTTGTTAACTAGTATTCATTTTATATCCTATCATGCTATAATTTAATTCACATTAAACGCCAAAATCTTGATGAAAAATTCAGCTTATCATTTTCAATCAAATTAATTTACTATGTTGGGCTAACTGAATTAAATGCAGATGCCTAAGATTTAAAAAATTCTGTATGATTGCCCTTCATATTTTCAAAAAGAAGTTCTTATAAATAAATAGATAATCAAAGTATGTGCTAATAATGATTTGCTTTTAACTAGCTTGCTTTAAAGGAGATAATGTTAATTTATATTTATGAAATGGTCTTAAAATATAAATTGAAATAAACCTAATTAATTAATTATTAAATTGATTGTTTATTAGATTATTTCGTTTTACTTATTATCAAATAATTAATTTATTTTATAAGATTCAAATTTTAGATTCATTCTTTTTTATTTGAATAATTCATTCACTTTTTTATGCAAGTATATATATATGTATGTATGCTTATCTGTATTATCATTCAATAAATCATTTAATTGATACAGCATATTTATTCACTTTATTTTAACAATAATTGATTTTTCTTTCATTTGAAGGTATAATACAAATGACTAAACTTTATTGAACCAAATTTTATTTGTTTATTATTTTTAATCAACAAGGTATATTTATTTATTATGTAGGAAATATGTTTGATTTATTAAAATATCTATCTATCTATCAATCCAACTATCTATGATAATTATTAAAATTAAAGATGTGATTGATTATTTTAAATATTTAAAAAATAAACTTAAACTTATTTTTGAATTTTATTTTTAATTATTTTGAAATACTAAAATATCAACTTGCATTTGATTTAAAACAATTTAATTTATTTGTTTCTAATATTCTTAGTAGTCATCTACATATTTGTATTTATCAATATTTATAGAATTTAAATTCCCTCTCAATAAAATATTATTAATTTTATTCTTTTCTAATATTAATAACACTTATAAGGAAGGTTTAGATAATAATGGATGCTTTGAATTCTTGTGAAATAAATTAGATTAATAAAATAAATAATATTTTTTTGAATTATTCATTTAAGCCTTATTTTATGATCACTTAAAATAAATTCATAATTTTATATTAATTTTTCTATTTTTATATTAGAATTATGTAATAAAATTAAGGATTAAAAGAATTTTAGAAATTAAAATTGGAAAATTATAAAAATTTAGTATTTAGAATTATAAGAATTTGTTATTCTTGCCTTTTTTCTTCTCTACTTCTATACTTATCTTATTACTAAGATGCTCTAATTACATTTTATTTTTATTATTACTTACTAAATTATTTAGGCAAAAAAATTAGTTATTATTATAATTAAATCATTTGTCATTTGTCTGCAAATTTGAAAAATTGTCTTATTTAAAGAGCAAGTATTAAGAAGCTTTTTTTAATTAATACCTTAATACATCATAATAGATAGATGTGCGAACGAATCAGTGAGGTTTTGAATATTTTAAAAAATCATTACGATTGATAAAATATTTTAAAATAGAAAATTGCTGCAATTAAAATAAATTACATTATATGACAATAAATATTTGTTAACCTATCTTTATTTGAGCAATTGAAATTTTTTTTTATTTTTCAACTGTAAAATTATTTTTTAATTAACTCTAATTGCAATAATTATTAAAGATAAATTTTATATTAGTTAAATAAATTTGAAACCCAACTGTACTAAATCATAAAAAGTTATATAATGAAAAGATTTCGTCTTATTTACAAAATTAAATAAATTTATTGATTAGCTGCTTCGCTTCGTTATTTCAGTTTTGATTTTATTGCTCTGTTACTAAATTTAGATAAGAATTTAAAAATAGAAGTGAGAAAAAAACTTATTTGAATAAATTTTATGATTAAATAAAAATAATTTGTTTTTTTATTACTTTGAGATAAGTAATTTTATTAAATCCGATTTCTTACAAGAAAAGTGGAATAAAAAATGTATAAATTTAAATAATATCTACCATTTTGATAATTTGAAATTTAATATTTAAGAAAAAAAAACAATATTATTATTTATTTTATTCATTAACTTTTGCATTTATTTTGAATTAGAAAGTAAATTTAACACAATTTTTAACTAGAAAAGAATTTTGTGCATATTGGATAATCCTCTATCATTCCAAATCATTTGCTTTTATCAAAATTAAAACGCGTCAAATTTTACTAAATAAAAAGAAAAATCAAGGGTTTTTTCTTGAAAAAAAAAACGATTACATAATTTAAAGTTTTATAACCTTATAATTGATTACAATTTTTAATTAGGCATCTGAACTGAGCAATAATTTGTAAAGTCTAAATTTAAGAAATTATTCAATCATTCATTTCAAAATTAATAACTCTATAACTTTAGCAGATAAGATAGTCATTATTACAGAATATACCAAAATAATATTTTATTTTTTTACAATAAATTAAACAAAATTAAATGAAGATTAATTTATATGATAATAAATATTTTACAAAGTTCTTTTTCAATTATAAATAAAATATTCATTTTCATAGTTCATTTAGCTTTTATAAGTTGCTTTAATTATAAAAACTTTGACTCCGCTTTTTAATTTTTATTTTATTCTCTATCCAACATTATCAAAGTGATATCTATTTATTCAGATTTTAGAAACAATTACTCTTGAAGTTAATACTTTTTGTAAAACAAAGTTATTTTTTGTTTTATTTCAAAGCAAAAGAAAGACTCATTCTACTTATACATAGCAAAAATGAATAATATTAATAACTAAAGTGCCTTTTAAAAAAACAATATTTTACTCTGATAACTATAAAAAAAAATTTTGTTTTAACTAATTGAAAAGATGATGTTATTTATTTAAATAAAGTAGTATTTTATTATTTTATCATTTGATTATATATTTCTATAAAATTTTTTTTTTTGTAATAAATAAATAATACAATTAATTTTTAGCAAATATTTTCAAATTTTTTTAATGAACACTTTAAAATATTTAAAAATATAAGGAAAATAGTTAATCAAATTTAAATAAATTAGATATTTTATTATACTTTAATTATATATTTCTATAAAATTTTTTTATTTTTGGATTTTATAAATAATACTACTAATTTTTTACAAATATTTTTAAAAATAAACACTTTCTAAGACAAATATAAAATAGATTATTTTTAAGTTATTTTTAAATTTATAAAAGATGTCATCTAGCAATTAAAATAAATTAGGATAAAGTACTTCGAAGTTCGCAAAATTTATTTTTTATTTTAATTTTTATGACAATAATTTATTGTTATGAAAATAGTTAAAAAAAGTAATTTTTATTTTAAAAGAAAGTTTATTTGTGAGATAAGGTATGGGAAATAGAAGAAAAAATAACAAAACTTTGATCCAATGAGCTGTTGGAATTAGTACCCTTTATAAAATGAGCAATTTTTTAAATAATAATTTTCTGTAAATTAAATTTGATTAAAATAATTGAAAAGCAAAATAATATAATGAGTAGAATTAACTTCTTATTAATCAAAAAATCTTTGATTTTATTTTTACATGTTGTCACAGTAAAAAGTATTGGATGTCCTTTCTGGCAAATTGGATCTAGCGATACGAATGCGAGCCCAATTTAGAAAATCATTCTTCTGAAATCGAATCCCTAAAATTAAGTAGAAGACATAGCAGCGATTGTCTATCAACCATTTAATGTAGGTATTTTTAATATTCAGAAAAATAAATAATACAAACCGATGGGGTAATCTGAGAGTGTGACACTCTATCAAATGGATAAAGATGATAGACCTTAGCTTAAGGTTTCCGTAATAAATACTCTAGATGCAAATGGAAGAGTTATTTCGTGGAATTCTGGAAATGGATCTAGATAATAAGTGATTTAAATTCCTCTGAGTATTGCTGTAAAACCTAACTCTTGCTTAAATTCACAAGAAATGCTAGTTGTAACATGGGATACATAATCAGTAAATTTCCTTTTGACTTTTATTTGCTTTCAAAACAATTTAATTAATCAAATATAATTAATAAACCAACCAATAAAAATCAATCATCAAATTGTATTGTTTTTTCTCTTCTCATTAAAATTAATAAAAAAATTTGAAACATATTTTTAGAAATCATTGTTTGTTTTTGATCAACTTAGCCCCCACATCTAATATACTTATTTTAAAAGACCTTTTCTTTTATTTAAATATTACTCTATTTTATATTATTAAATAAACTCTAATATTATTTAAAATTAAATGTTTATTTCTTTCTCATTAATTCAATTATTAAAAAGCTATTTGTTGTTGACTTTTCTTCTCCAAACAATGTAAGCTCTAATGCGTAAGCTCTTTAATTGGCTTCTGGAAATAGTTTAGCTTAATGTGTTAATGATAAGCTAAATAGAAGATTTTTACTTGCGAATACTTAGGGAGTCATATTTTCATATGACATTTAAACTAAGAAGTTTGTTTAACTATTTTAGCTCAATTCTTTTTCTAGTTTACAGTCAATATTCCCAACTTAGAATACTATTGCTATTTCTTACGCACAAATATCTGGATAGAGCTATGCTGTTTCTTACATAAATTCTACTCTCCAATTCTCACAAACGCTCCCTAAAGTTTCAACATAGATTTTAGTGAATAAACAAGAAGATCAAGTAGTAATCATAGGAAATTCTAACTTATTCTAAGTTTGGAACATTAAGTTAAATCAGAAAGTATATTAACCTAATTTTCAACAAATTAAGTGTGATTAAAAAGACGCAAATTAAACAAGTGTTGATTCTTCTATTAGCTTTACGTTTGGATCAATCAATCAAAATGATGAAATTGCTGTAGTATCCAATAATTATGTATTTGCTTATTCTATGTCACAATAAAAACCTTTGCTTTTTAAAAGTTAAAACTTTGGAGTGTATCTTATCCAAGCTTTTGTTCTTTAAAATAAAATAATTTTGAATTAGCAATACTCAGTGGCTAACTTTGATTTACTTATTTCTAAATACCTTTATGTTACAAACGTCTTTCCAAGCTATAAATCATCTTATGATGTAATAACAAAAATTGAGATAGATTCTAATTTGAATAGGTATTTATTTATCCTTAATTTATAATTTCTTTATTTTAATAATATTTAATTAGAATAATCAGGATAGATCTAGGAGGTAAAATTTAATACTGGTCTATTTTGGATAACATAGAAGATAATTTTATCTTTTACATGCCTACTAACTCTACTTTTTTCATAGACAGATAATTAAATAAGGTAAAATGAAATTTCTTTATTTCCTTTCTAACCACCAATCATTTCTAAAATTTTTAATTAAATAAAAAATTCTAATAAAGTGTATTTTTTATTAATTTTAATTTCTTTAAACAGTACTCAATGTAAAATAAAAAAAATATATATATCTAAGATTATAAAAGTTTTTCTAACTTATGATTTGGATAAAATAAAAATGCAGATTATTTTAAAAAGTAGCTAGTACGCTATTAATTTTAATTTAGAATTTTAATAAAACAATTTTTATAAAATTTTAGAAATTTTATTTTAGCAAATTAATTAAACACTATATATAAATGAATATCTGTGTATGCTTGCAAACTATTCTGTGAATAGATTTTATAGTTTTTAAATCATTTTCTAAATATTAAATTATATTTCTTAAGCAATTTTATTTTAGATTAATTTCATAAAATTTTTAGACGATAATAATTAATAAAATATTCTTCAATAGCTTTCTTACAAGTTAATAAATATTTTTTTAATAAAAATAATTTAGATGGTCTAATTTTCTTACTAAACTAACAGTGGAGGTTTAAATCAATTACTTGTATATGACTATCTTTAGGGAACATTAATTGATAGACTTAATAATCCTTTTACTAGTAGTGATAGTCAAGTTTATTAGGCTTATCAAGATAAGACAAATGGATATATCGTAGGTTTCATATTAGAAAATACCTGTTATACGATATATAAATTTAATAAAAACCTTGACCACTCTATGGTTTTTAAAGGTGTTTTAATTAACAATGCTAAGATTAATGGACCTATCATATTACTAGAGAGTAGCTAGTAAATGTTGGTATAAATAAATTAAAAATTATATTTGTTTAACTATTTCTATTCAAGTGGAAATTAAAATTAACCTATCAGCTTTTAAGGTTCCGATGCAATTATCTCTTAATACTTTTTCATCAGCTCAACCAATTAACTAGTTACCACTTAATAATAGGCTATTTAAGTAAATTCCTTTTTATTAATCAAACAAATAAAAAATTTTAATTTTAAAAGATATACAATTATAATAGTAATTAGCTAAGTTTGACGAATTCAATAAGTTATTATACAGGGAGTAGTATCTCAATATCTTTAGTATAAGAATAATAGATAATTATTTTAAACAGAGGAAATCAGCTATTTCTTAAAAACTATCAAACAATGCAAGAAAACATATTGGATTTTGTTGATTAATCTGTTCTTATGTACACATATGATGGACCTAGAGCTCTTTTGATTATCATTTTAGCTAACTTTAAAATAGAGGTTATAAATATTGCATAAGCCAAAGTTCTCTATCTTTTACAACTTAATAATAATGCTTTGCAAATGATGGATATATTTCCTCAATATAATTTAGTAGTTGTATCATACCAAAACGGATAAGTTATTTACTACAATTACATTACAAATAACATTCTCTCAATTTTCAATAACCAGTTTTTTAACAATTTGGAGCAATTAGATAGTAGGTCCAACTCATTAGTACTAAAGTCTAACCTAAAGGTATATCCTAATGCTAAACACAATTTCTATTTCATTTATTTATTTTATAAAAATTAGATTTTCACAAGAAGAATGACAAATCTAGGATTGATAAATTAGATTTAAGAATAAGTAGCTATCAATAGTTACTTTATTGACATCAAAAGTGGTTTGAGTTTCACTTTAACAGACAAAGTAAAAATCTTCAATCACTTAACATAACAGTACCTTCCAAATTTTAACAGCAATATAAACTATACACCTTATATTATATACTCAATTCCTTCTTAAAACTGGTTATTTCTTGGATTTTAAAATTCAACAGTAAATCTTGCTTATGTTTACAGACTTGATAATTATTAATAAATAGCAATACTGGATCACAATATTACTTAATGTAATTTAATTAAAAAAATTTATCATGATGTTAAAATGAATAGATTGTTTTCTGCTTGTAAAACACCTGGAACTGTAGTTGTTTGGGATTTAAACAACAATTTTACTCTTATATAGTCTATGCTAAATGCAAATCCAACTTAAGTTTCTAGTATATCATTCAACTAAAACTTAGGAATTATCACTATGATGGGAGTAGGAAAAATAAATATTTCAAGATTAATTGAATTTATTTTTAATTTTAATAGTTATCTTGGTGGTCAAGCACTTTTGATTATAACACATTAAACTATAAATGCTAAGTTGTTGGAATCTATAGTAATTTTGATTATACAAATAAGTATTAAGTTACTTGGGATGTAAATGAACAATTTTATATATATATATCAATTTAAACTACTTTTAATTTAGCAAAACGGTGATTTTAGGCTTTATGATTACAAATGTACACAAATAGCATATAGGCACTGTGCAAAAAGTTGGATTAATCAACTAATAATAGATGAGCAACAAATGATCATAACAACAATAAGGTACTCTAATTTTTTGATTTAATTAAATATAAATTAATGATAAACTTTAATAATAGTTAGGATAACAAAGTAAAAACATATAACTACTAAATCCTGCCAAATCCTGCCCTTTTGTATAATTAATTATAAATAGTTAATTTTTTATTTTTATTAAATTTGTCTTTTTATAGAAACTAATTGATTCTCCCATATTAACTTAACGATGGTTTTCTAGACAAAGACAATGGATATCTTTTAGTTGCAGATTTTAATGGTTACATATATATGATATCATATCCTTCACTGATTTTGTAGTAAACAATACAAGTCACATCCTAAAAGATAAATAATGTCTATTTAGATAAAACTCACAATTTATTTTTATTTGTTAGTTAACCTGCATAAACTATCTCTTACTATAACTTAATTGAATTTCTTTAATCTAATGCCTACTCAGTCTCATTCAGAAATACAGGTTTATATGAATTTATTAGACCATCTATTTGATTTCTTTATCTTTTTTTCAATTTAAAAAGGTGTAATGTCTACTTTAAGTACAAAGCAAGGAATGATATTCCATTAACACACAAACATTATATAAGTTTGGGATTACCAAAATCAATCTCTTAGATATGGATTTTTTGTAAATAGTTAGCTTCCCTAATATGAATCCTAGAGTAGGTTTGAAATATTATTGGGGCAAGATAATGTTAGTGCTTTTATGACTAGAGATCAAATCATATTCTTTAATATAAATACATTTGACATTATATATGTCTAATAATTAAAGTGTTTGAGGAGTACATAACTTAATAACTATTTTATATGTTCTCAAGTTAATGTTTTGACTATTCTGAATGTTAATAGTTTTGTTTAAAGTTAGACGATTCAACTATAGTAAAGCTCTGTTGTTATATAGTTACAATCTATATTAGAGATTAATACCTTTTTTGTAACTACATCCTAAGGAGAAATTATATTTTTTACTCTTGACAATAATTAAAACATATTTTAGCAATAGTTATATTCCTAACTATTAACATAAGCTATTGCTAATTATTGTTTTATTAGATTGAATTAAAATTACATGATTTTAGCTTCTTCTTTTGATGGGTAAATTGGATAAATGGTACTCTCATAAAAATTGAATATTCTTAACCAACAAAAATTACCTTTACCTGGTTTAAGTTCTCATGCTCATGTTATGCTACAGTTCAATAACTAAGTAATAAAATTAATTTATTTTTTTAATACACTTTTCAAATAACAATACACCACATTCTGTCAATGTCTCATTAAAAAAAAATAAGCTTTATATACCAATTTATGGTATTTTTAAGAAATTTTAAATCAAAAAAGAATATTCAACATATTATTTTTTGTACCCTTAAAAACTTTTAAAAAAAGTTTAAATTGAAAAATATTTTATTTGTTTTTAACTTTACTAATGAAAAAAATAATAATAAAAACATATTCTATTTCATAAATAAATAATATTTAATAAAATATAATTTGATATCATCTTATTTCACCCAATTTTACATGCATTAATGGTTTTATAAGTTTTTTTCTAATTTTTCAAAAAAAATTTCATTATTTTTATGTAGAAATTTTTATTTAAAAGCTTTTTATTTTAAAAATTGATTATAAAATAGATATTTATCAAAAGAATACTCGATTTCTCTTTAATTATATACAACTCTAATGATTTCACTTAGTTTAGTACTCTCCCTAGCCCCTGTATTGGATACTCATACAAATTAGATATCAATCAAGATTATGACCTAATTATTTAAAGTTGCATAGGAAACTACTAAATTAATTAACTTTCTTCATTAAAAAATGTAGCTACTGGAAGGTATATTGCAAATCTGAATCTTACAGAATATGTTTATACCCCTGATTGCAATTAAATTGTCTACATAAACAAAGATTACTTCATAGATGCTTACTTCACCACAATTTTTATCTATTAAATAGATTATGCTAATTAAATAGTAAAATAATTAGGTAATTTTTAATTAGGTGATATTGTTTTAGGGAGCATAGCTTCTTACAATACTTTTAGTTCAACAGACAATATTTATGTTTAGTTAATTTTATATTCTCAGGATACCATTTCCTAAGTCTAGTTACCTATTTTTGGAGAAAAATCATGCTAATAATCACTCTCATCATCATAATTCGGCGAAGTGGTACTTTCTGTATAAAGCGTTTACTAACAAATATAAACATACTTTTAAATTCAAAGTATACAATTTAATGTTATTATAGATTAGGAAACTATTTTACTACCTTTTCCTTCTTTTTAATTTTCTGCAATTACTTAAATTAGCATAGTTGCTGATCAGACTAAAACTACTAAACAAAAAATAATTGTTAATGAGGAAATATTTTTTTCTTTTTCAGGTTATAACTTAATTTCATTAAATAATTTGTACATAGAGCCTGCTTCTTCTCAAAAAGATTACCTGCTGTTTAATATTCAAAATTTAACTTAATTTCAACTAAATAATGTCTAATTAGGTAATGAAAAATTATTTTCTTTCAATTTTAATTACATAGAAAGTGTGGTCTTTGATTAGCTATAGATTTTAAATATGACATAATCAGCATCAAATATTGTAACAATTTTCAATTTCTAGTAGGTGAATAATATGATTTTTAATCAAATCAACGTATCATAGTCTAATTTCAGTTAGATCAATCTTTTTTACTTTTAAAATGATGTTAACAATAACAAAAGCTTGATTAGATTTTAAGATTTGTAAATCCAGTAATCAGAATTTCTCTTTAGAGATGATACACCAAGTACTTCAACCATTTTCATTTCTAATTATAATAATGTCTCATTTGATAGAGTCAATATAAATTAAAATTCAGGTACTTCTATACCTCTAATTAAAAGTTATGTTGTCTCTAATTTAACGTTAAGTAATATCAAGTTTACTAACAATAAAGAAATTATGCTACTTTCATATAATAGTAGCATAAGTTAAGTTATTGCAAAAGTAGCTTTAAATTAGCAATTACTTGAAGATAATATAAGAATTTGGGTTATAAATATATCTAGTAACTAGTACAGCTTATTTTCAAAATACAGCATTGTATAAATTAATAGCCTCAAATAGAAAATTTCAAAAGCTGATATCAATAACAATATTGATTTAAATTCGTCTAACTAAATTTTGAATTTAAAAGCTTATTATCTGAATTGCACAAATGCTACTTTTATACAAAATTAAGGGTTTTAAAATTTATTTTTTGTCCCAAATACTTAATTAGGTAATTTTTAGAACTTAGTAGTTTGGAATAACTAAGCTGCTTAAAGTATTTTATTACTTTCTTCTAAAGTATAAATATCTAATTCGTCTGTGAAAGAAAATATATCTAACAATAAATTATTCTAAACCTCTGTGATAAACATACTTTCAAACTCATAAGTTTCCTTATCTTCATCTGAGTTTGAATCTAACTAATCCTTTTTAGGAGGTTCAATATATGTATCTTAAAGTGATTTGTAAATAGAATAAGTTTCCTTTAAAAATGATATAAGTTAAAACTAAGGAGGATCTATATATTCAATATAATCCACTCTTAGTTTAAGGTAAAGCTAATTTACAAACTGCTCTTCTGATCTAGGTGGAAGCATATACATATAAAAAGGAAGCATACAATTAAATTCTGTAAATTCTTCAAAATCAACTTCTAATCAAGATGGAGGATTTTTATATGCTAGTGGTATAGAATAATTTATACTATCTAATTTAAATCTATAGGACTGTATAGCTTTTAATGATGGAGGGTGTATATATCTAACATCGTCTGGTGGAAATAGTTCTTCTATAACCCAGTCTTTAATTTAAAATAGCTAAGCTTTTGGGTATAAATTTATAGATAATAAATTCTGATATTTCATTTTATATTAATTAGTTTTTATATTAATTAACTAATATTACAAATTAAATAATAAATAGGAGTGGAGGTGCTATTTTACTTGATAATACTGATTTGTCCATAAACTAAACTTAGTTTGTAAACAATACTGCTGGAATAGGTGGAGCCATAAGATACTTAAATCTAAAACCTCACTTTTTAATTTAAAACTCTAATTCCTCAAAAGATTCTTGTAAAACATTTAGCCAAAATCATTGTTAACAGAATAAAGCTATCATTTTTGGAAATTCAATTGCCAGCTATCCACAATATGCTTCAATATTACCAAGTAATGACTTCAAAGTTAATATTGATCACTATCCTAATGTTACACTAAGTAATTTTAGAAGTGGAATGAGTAGTTTTGATTTCTCAGTCTAATTTTTAGATGAATTCAAGAATCTTGTCTAATAAATTAATCTACAAGATCAGAGTAAAAATTTTTTATAAATCTTAATTTAATTAATTACTTTTAATAAATTTAAGCTTTAACGTAATCGCTAAGCCAGAAGCTAATTTAAGAAATTAGCCAATACAATTGCAGGGTACAAATAAATCAAATAAGTACCTCATTAGAAGAAGAAACTATAAAAATAGATGGAGCAACACTAGTAGATTATGCTTATCATGGCAAAAACAAGATTGGATGTTTAATGAATAATTTTAAAATAACAGGAATTCCAACAAAAAGTGGTTTAATTTCATTACAACTAAATGGAATGAAATCACTTTATGGATCAAATTAATTTAGTAATATTACAGATATTTAAATTAATGTATAATTTAGAGAGTGCTAAGTTGGAGAGTATTATACCTCAACATGTGATGGATGCTAGCTCTATGAGTGCACTTAATGTTTAAATGGTACTTATTCTCTAGAGGAGCCCAAAATAGGAAAGAGTATTGAGTGCAAAACTTGTGATACTTCTCAAACTAATTCTTGCTTTCTCAATTAAATAGTATTAAAATAAAATTACTGGTATATTTAATTAATTTTTATTTTACAATTAATCAATTTATTTTAACTTCTAGGAGAGTGAGCAATCAATCTGATTAAATATTTTTTTGTAATTCTAATAACTGTAATGGTAATGAATCAAAAGGATATTGCATCGAAGGGTATGTTGGAGCTTTGTGCTCATCTTGTGATAATTATGGAAAAATTTGGGGAATATAGTATGGATAAAGTTAAGTAGGTAGTTAAGGTATTTAATGTATTAGGTGTGATTAAATAAAGGATAACGCATACAAGCAAATTTTGGTTCTTTTATCAGTTTTATTCTATTTGGGATTTTTAATTGTTGAATCCTAAAATAATAACTGTAAAATGTGCTAAATTAGAATTCTTTCTTCAATTAATGTTATTTAATTTGGAATTTCTTAATTTATTCTTTAATCATCTGTCATATCAAAAATATTTATCAATTAATTTTACATCATTACATCTTTAAAAGAAAATCTATAAGTTAGTTTCCCTGATTTATTCTCTTTCTTATTCACTTTCCCAGAAGTAGCTTCATAACCTGTACTTGTCTTTTTATATTCCTTAGACTGTAGTCTAAGCTCAATACATACTTAAATTCCAATTTAATATTTGAGGTTTATTTATATTTCGATTGTTCTCCCTCTAACCTTTTTGATTCTTATCTACATTATGATGAAATTAATCATACATATTCTAAATTATGTAAAGCCAAAAGAAGCCTACTATTCGGAAATAAAATATAACAATGTAAATATGCTTATAAGCACTCTAATTGTTTTTACTTACCTTGCTTCATAAAATATTTACTAAGCAGCTCTTTAGATAGTTTTTTGCCAAAAATTTGATAATTAATATTACATGAAAAGCTAAATGGATTAATAGTGCTACACTTAAGAGCATATTTTCTACATAATCTTTTTAGTTTTACCTGTTTTGATACTAGTGACTGTCATATATCCTTTGGTCATGTTGTACATTTTATGTAAAAACAGTTCTAAACTCTTTGATAACACCTCTACTAATGTTATAAGGAGATATGGTTATTTCTTCTAAGGATATAAGAAAAATAGGTGGTGGTGGGAACTTTTAAAAACAGAATACAAATTTATAGAATTACTATTAGCCACTTATTTTACTTCTTAACCTGTTAATCAGCTTATCTCAATCATATTTGTATAGCTTGTTTACTGTGCCTTATTGACTTACTTCTCTCCTTACTAAGATAATAAAATAAATATTTTGGAGCTCAAATCTTCAATATTAACTTTACTTATCTTTTGGTTATCTTTATTTATATAATTAAATTCTAATATGATTACTTTAACATAAATAGCTTCAGCTCTTTTAGTTACAACTATGATCATTTTATTTGGTATTTTTTTAATTATTTTAGAAAATTAAATTCATTTATTTCTAATTTAAGGTTCTTTAGCAATAAACTTTTTTGAAGTTTTAGTGAAAAGAAACTACTACTTAATTCTCAAATTGAAATGCTTGACTTATTTAATAGCATTCTTAAGAAATAAAATAATAAAGGATAGAGAGTGGGTTAAAAAATATGTTTTTAAAAATTATTGGATCTTATATAATTTAATTTATAAAAACGACTATAATCCTTTTGCAACTTTTAATAAGTATTCAATTAGCTAATTTTCAATAAAAATTAATCTAATTTTTTGTAAAAATAGTTGGAGAAAGCTTAGAAATATCTTTTTAAAAGGAGATTTTAAAATAATTGAGATATAAAAACTCTAAAACCGTATAAGCAAGCAAAGTGTATCTAACTTAAATTCATCTCCGCGTTAAAAATCAAATTTTTTTGGAGAGAATAGTTAGAATTCTTTAATAAAAACGAACTCTATTGGGTAATTTTGTTTTTTTTATTATATGAAAATTTTAATATATTAAACTTTTCATTTGTTTAGTAGCAATAAAAACAATGACTTTATACTTGAAGATACTCTTTTAAAAGATAATAGTCCAATTTAAAACTAGGTTAAAAGATCCAGCTAATTTTATAAATAATTAGAATTTTAAAAAATTATCAATTTATGATTTTTTTTGTTTAGATCAAAAGTATTTTTTATTTGTTTTAAGCTTGTTATGTTTCAAATGTATAAATTTAAAATTAGATTAAAAAATTCTGTATATTCATCTCATTTAAAAAATATATATTTATTTAAATTTAAAAGCTTTTATAAATAATAGGAAAAATGTGGTCTGACACTATTTTTTTAAAGACCTAGTTTTTATAATTTTTTTGCAAGCATTTTCTTAATTATTTGAAAAAAATCAAGTCCTTAAAATCTATCATCAGACCTCACTATTCCTATTATATTATATCTTCAGATATACCAGAATAGATTATCTGGTATGATACTCCTCTAAATAGTGAAAACTACATCACTATTCTAGAGGGAGCAATTATCAATAATGAAAATTTTGATATCAAAATAGATAAATTTATGCAAGACAAGACAAGCTCGCACACAGCCAAAGCTAATAAATAATTTTTGGAAAAAACGAAGTTATTTTAGTATACTGGACTACTAAATGGGCATATTTATCTCATTGAAAAATTATGGATAGAAGTCAAAGGTTTTCTGTATGAGAATATCAAAGAAATAATAAACAAAGAAGATATATTTCTTAAAGCAAAAGAAATATTCTTTAGCCAAAAAATAATTAATGTGGTATAAAAATTTTATTAGAATTAGCACTAAAAAAATTAAATAACTCAGATAATTGAAAGGGAATAAAGTTTTAATCAATTGATTATTGTAAATTCAACCTTCCTCCATTTTTTTATAATAATTGTTTTATTGTAGAGCTGAGATTATATAATAAAATGTCTGCCCGTTTTAAATTCTACAAGCTTTATTAACTTTTAATAAATATTTATAGTAGTTCAAAGTTAGCAAAATTAATATTTTATTTGAATTTCTATTACAATATTTATTATTATGAAAATAATTTAAAAAGTTATACTTTTTAAAAAGAAAGTTTATTTGTGAAAAAAAGCATGGGAAATAGAAGAAAAAATAACAAAAATATAGTTTCAATAAATTCTTTGGTTTAAGTACAATCAACAAAATGAACAAATTTTTTAAATAGTATTAATCTAAAAATTAAATTTGATTTAAATATTTGAAAAACAAAATAGTGTAATGAGTAGAAATAATTTTTTATTAATCAAAAAATATTTGATTTTACATTTATATATTGTTTCTGTAAGATGCATTGGATGTCCTTTCTGGTAAATTGGATCTAGCGATATTAATATGAACATAATATAGAAAATCATTCTTCTGAAATCTAATCCCTAAAATTAATTAGAAGACATAGCAGCGATTGCCTATCAGTCATTTAATGTAGGAATATTCAACATTAAGAAAAATAAGTAATACTAATTGATGGGATAGTCTGAGAGTGTGACACTCTATCAAATGGATAAAGATGATAGACAATAGCTTAAGGTTTCAGTAATAAATACTCTAGATGCAAATGGCTAATTTTCAATAAACATTAATTTCATTTTTTGTAAAAATATTTGGAGAAAGTTAAGAAATATATTTTTAAAAGGAAAGCTTAAAATAATTTAGATATAGAAACTCTAAAACTTTATAAGCAAGCATAGAGTATCTAAATTAATTTATCTCATCCTTAAAGATCTAATTTATTTGATAAGAATAATAAGAATTATTTAATAAAAACAAACTTTATTGGGTAATTTTATTTTTTATTAATTTAAAATTATTAAATTTTTCATTTTTTTAGTAGTAATAAAAACCATGACTTTATACTTGAAGATAAACTTTTAAAAGTTAATAATTCTACTTAAAACTAGAATAGAAGATTCAGTTAATTTTATAAATACATTATTTATCTAGATTTTAAAAAAATATCAATTTATGATTTTTTTTATTTAGATCAAAAGTATATTTTATTTGTTTTAATTTAAATTTTTTGTGATATATAAAAATAAATAAATTTAAAATTAGAATAAAAAAAACTATTATTTATCTAATTTAAAAAAACTAATAATTTACGAATTTTTATTTTTTTTATCAAAAATTAACCACTCATATAATTTACTGGAGTTAATAAATATCATACCTTTGTATAGCACTTTGTAATATCAAAAAATAATCATAGATATTTATTAGCTATGATTTAAATAATATTTAGAGCTATGTATAATCAAATTAAAGTTTAAAAAATTTTATTTTTTGATATATTTTATAATATATGCTTTTAAGAAGAGTTTTTGTAATTTTAATTAATTTTTTGAATCCTCCACTATTTAATATCTAAATGAAGGAAAATTAATTTTAATTATTACTATTTATATAAATTTACAGACAAATTAATTTTTCATAATAAAAAAATCTACCTGACCATTAATTATGATTGATCAAATATTTTTAAAATAGAAAATTACTACAAATAAAATAATTTACATTTCTTGAAAATAATAATTTGTTAACTTATATTTATTTATGTCATTAAATTATTAAAAATTTTTAAATTAACTGCTATTTGTAATAATTATTAATAAAATATTTTTTTTTATTTAAAAAAATTTGAAACTCAAATGTACAAAGTCATAAAAAATAATATCATGAGATAATTTCTTTTTATTTACAAAATGAAAAAAATTTATTAATTTGCTTCACTTTATAGTTATTTCAGTTTTGATTTTATTGTTCATTTACTATATTTAGATAAGAATTTAAAAAATAGAAGTGATAATAAATTTTATGTTTAAATAATTATAATACAAACTATTTGTTTTTTTATTACTTTGAGATAGCTAATTTATTAAAGTCAATTTCTTTATAGAAAAGTGGAATAAAAATGTACAAATTTAAAAAATAGCTGCTTTTTAGATAATTTGAAATTTGATATTGAATAAAAAAAACAATTATTTTTTATTTTTTACCATAATAAAAATTATCTTTAGCATTTATTTTGAATTAGAAAGTAATTATTACTCAAATATAAATTGGAAAGAATTTGTAAGCATATTGGATAATCCTCCATCATTCTAAATCTACTTCTTTTATCAAAATTATTTAGACTGTGTAAAATTTTACTAAATAAAAAGAAAAATCAAGGATTTTTTCTAGAAGAAAAAAAAATAGGATTACATAATTTAAATTTTTTAATTTTTTTTTTACTTACTTTATGATTAATTACAATTTTTAATTTGGCATTTAAAATGTGCTAAATAATAATTCTTAAATTAAAAAGTTAGAAAAATCATTCAATGATTTTCTTCAAAATTGATAACTCTTTAAATTTAGCAGGTAATCATTATAGCTTAATAATATACTATTTGATTATAAAAATTTTACAAAGTCCTTTTTTCAATTATTAATAAAATATTGATTTTCATAGTTCTTTTAGCTAATCCAAGATGCTTTAATAATAAAAAATTTGACTCCGCTTCTTAATTTTTATTCTATTTATAATATTTTAGTATATTTTCTATCCAACATGATGAAAGTGGCATTTATTTATTTAGATTTTAGAAACAATTACTCTTAATGTTAATATTTTTTAGCAAAACTATATTATCATTTGTTTTATTTTAAAGTAAAAAAAGGACTCTTTATATTTATACAGAGCAATAATAAATAAAATTAATAACTAATGTAACAGTTGTATTGCCTTTAAAAAAGTATTTTACTTTGATAATCATAAAAATATTTTTTTAAGGTTTAACAAATTGAAAAGTTGATTTTATCCTATTTAAATAAATTAGGTATTTTATTATATTATCCTTTGATTATATGAAAAATTATAAAATTTTTATTTTTGGATTATATAAAAAATACTATTAAGATTTTACAAATATTTTTTAATTTTTTATTTTTTAATAAACACTTTAAAATATTTAAAATATAAGCCAAATATATAAATATATATATATTTTTTTTTAAAGCATTTTTAAATAACTTCATATATTAAAGATGTTATCAATCAATAAAAGTAGTTAACAAAAGTATTACTTTTTAAAAATAAAGTTTATTTGAAATAGAAGGTACGGCAAATCGATGTAAAAATAACAAAAATATGATTCAATAAACTCTTGGTATTAATTAGTACCCTCAATAAAATGAGCAAATTTTTTTAAATAACAATTATCTGATAATTAAATTTGAATTAAATAATTGAAAAACAAAATAATATAATGAGTAGTATTAACAACTTCTTATTAATCAAAAAATTTTTGATTTTACTTTTGTATGTTGTCTCAGTAAAATGTATTGGATGTCCTTTCTGGCAAATTGGATCTAGCGATATTAATATGAACATAATCTAGAAAATCATTCTTCTAAAATCTAATCCCTAAAATTAAGTAGAAGACATAGCAGCGATTGCTTACCAGCCATTTAATGTAGGAATATTTAATATTCAGAAAAATAAGTAATACTAATTGATGGGATAGTCTGAGAGTGTGACACTCTATTAAATGGATAAAGATGATAGACCATAGCTTAAGGTTTCAGTAATAAATACTCTAGATGCAAATGGAAGAGTTATTTCGTGGAATTCTGGAAATGGATCTAGATAATAAGTGATTTAAATTCCTCTAAATATTGCTGTAAAACCTAATTCTTGCTTAAATTCACAAGAAACGCTAGTTGTAACATGGGATACATAATCAGTAAATTTCCTTTTGACTTTTATTTACTTTCATAATGATCTAATTAATCAAATAGAGATGAATAAATCATCCAATAAATCAATCTTTAATCAATATTAATTTCTCTTTAAGATTAATAAAAATATTCAATTTATTTTTAGAAATCTAATGTTTTTGGTCAATTTACCCACAAGTAAAAATTTTTTTAAATCATCTTTTTCCTTTTATTTAAACTTTATTCTAAAACTCTACCATACATAAATATTTTTTATTGCTAAATGAGTTTTGATTTTATTTAATAGTATAGTTTATTTATTTCTCATTAATTCATTTTTAGAAACTTATTTTAATAATTAAAAAGCTATTTGTTGTTGATTTTTCTTCTCCAAACAATATAAGCTCTAATGTTTAAGCTCTTTAATTGGTTTCAGGAAATAGTTTAGCTTAATGCGTTAATGATAAGCTAAATAGAAGATTTTTACTTGCGAATACTTAGGGAGTCATATTTTCATATGACATTTAAACAAGGAAATTTGTTTAACTATTTTAGCTCAATTCTTTTTCTAGTTTACAGTCAATATTCCCAACTTAGAATACTATTGCTATTTCTTACGCACAAATATCTGGATAGAGCTATGCTGTTTCTTACATAAACTCTACTCTCCAATTCTCGCAAACTCTCCCTTAAATTTCAACATAGATTTTAGTGAATAAATAAGAGGATCAAGTAGTAATCATTGGAAATTCTAACTTATTCTAAGTTTGGAGCATTAAGTTAAATCAGAAAGTATATCAACCTAATTTTCAACAAATTAAGTGTGATTAAAAAGACGCAAATTAAACAAGTGTTGATTCGTCTATTAGCTTTACATTTGGATCAATCAATTAAAATGATGAAATTGCAGTAGTATCTAATAAATATGTATTTGCTTATTCTATGTCACAATAAAAACCTTTGCTTTTTAAAAGTTAAAACTTTGGAGTGTATCTTATCCAAGCTTTTGTTCTTTAAAATAACATAATTTTAAATTAGTAGTACTCTGTGGCTAATTTTAATTTACTCACTTCTAAATACCTATATGTTACAAACGTCTTTCCAAGCTATAAGTCATCTTATGATGTAGTAACTAAAATTGAGATAGATTCTAATTTGAATAGGTATTTATTTATCCTTAAATTTTAATTACATTATTTTAATAATATTTAATTAGAATAATCAGGATAGATTTATCAGGCAAAATTTAATACTGGTCTATTTTTGATAACATAGAGGATAATTTGATCTTTTATATACAAACTAACTCCACTTTCTTCATAGATAGATAATTAAATAAGGTAATATGAAATTTCTTTATTTCCCATCATTTCTATATTCTTAATTAAATAAAAAACTCTAATAAAGTATATTCTTTATTAATTTCTTTAATAAGTACTCACACAAACTTCAAAAAATATTTATATTTAAGTTTATAAAAATTTCTCTAACGATTTAGATAAAATAAAAATGCAGATTATTTTAAAAAGCAACTAATAGTTTACTCATAATTTTAATTTAGAATTTTAAAAATATTTTTTTTAATAAAACTTTTACCTTAAATTATTTTTATTTAAAAAAAAAAATCAAAAGAAAAGTTTAATATATTTGAAAGAAATTCGTTTATTTTAGAATTTATTTACTTTTGTACTATATTTAGATACAAAATCGCTATTTATTTTCAATTTGCAAATGAATAATATAATTTAAAAACTTCAATACTTTTTCAAATATTTTTTAAAGAAAAAGAACTTTGCACCATTTTTATATAATTTTAGAAATTTAATGGTAGCATATTTAATTAAAAACTGTATATGAATGAGCATTTTATGCATGCTCAAATAGGCGATAAGTACAAACCTTATTCATGAATTGATTTTATGATTTTTAAATCATTTTATTTTTAATTAATTTTAAAATTTTTAGACTAAAATAATTAATAAAAAATCCTTCAATATCTTACTTACAATTTAATAAATGCTATTTTATTAAAAATAATTTAGATGGTTTAATTTGCTTACTATACTGCCAACGGAGGTTTAAATCAAATACTTGTATTTGACTATATATAAGGAATGTTAATTGATAGAATTAGTAATCCTTTTACTAGTAGTGATAGCCAAACTTATATGCTTTATCAAGATAAGACAAACGGATATATGGTAGGTTTCATATTAGAATCAACCTCTTATATGATCTATAAATTCAATAAAAACTATGACCACTCTTTGGTTTTTAAAGGAGTCTTAGTTAACAATAGTAAGATTAATGGACCTATAATATTACTTGAGAGTAGTTAGTAAATTTTGGTATAAATTAATGGAAAATTGTATTTGTTTAACTATTTCTATTCAAGTGGAAGTTCTAATTAACCTGTCAGTTTTTAAGGTTCTGATGCAACTATTTCTTAATACTTTTTCATCAGCTCAACAAGTTAACTAGTTACTATTTAATAATAGGCTATTTAAGTAAATTGTTTTTATTAATAAAATGAATAAAAAATTTTAATTTTAATTTTAAAAGATATACACATATAATAGTAATAAGTTAAGTTTGACGAATTCAATAAGTTATTATACAGGGAGTAGTAGCTCAATATCTTTAGTATAAGAATAATAGATAATTATTTTAAACAGAGGAAATCAGCTATTTCTTAAAAACTATCAAACAATGCAAGAAAATATATTGGATTTTGTTGATTAATCTGTTCTTATGTACACATATGATGGACCTAGAGCCCTTTTGATTATCATTTTAGCAAATTTTAAAATAGAGGTTATAAATATTGCATAAGCCAAAGTTCTCTATCTTTTACAACTTAATAATAATGCTTTGTAAATGATGGATATATTTCCTCAATATAATTTAGTAGTTGTATCATACTAAAACGGATAAGTTATTTACTACAACTACATTACAAATAATATTCTCTCAATTTTCAATAACCAGTTTTTTAATAATTTGGAACAAATAGATAACAGGTCCAACTCCTTAGTAATAAAGTCTAACCTAAAAGTATATTCTAATACTAAACAAAATTACTATTTTATTTTTTTAATTTATAAAAATTAGATTTTCACAAGAAGGATGACAAACCTAGGATTGATAAATTAGATTTAAGAAAAAATAGCTATCAATAGTTACTTTATTGACGTCAAAAGTGGTTTGAGTTTTACTTTAACGAATTAAGTAAAAATCTTCAATCACTTAACATAACAATACCTTCCAAATTTTAACAGCAATATAAAATATTCACCTTATATTATATACTCAATTCCTTCCCAAAACTGGCTATTTCTTGGATATTCAAATTCAACAGTAAATCTTGTTTATGTTTATAGACTTGATAATTACCAATAGATAGGAATAATGGACCACAATTAAACTTAATGTAATACAATTAACAAATTTTATCATGATGTTAAAATGAATAGGTTGTTTTCTTCTTGTAAAACACCTGGAACTGTGGTTGTTTGGGATTTAAATAATAATTTTACTCTTATATAGTCTTTGATAAATGCAAATCCAAGTGCTATTTCTAGTATATCATTCAACTAAAATTTAGGAATTATCACTATAATGGGAGTAGGAAAATTAAATACTCTAAATCCTCATATATTAAGGCCCCCCCCCCTATACACTTTTGACCTATACTTTCTTGGCCTCACTCAGAAAATTTCTTAAAAATCCGCCTTAATTAAAAAAGTCTTAATATATGAGGATTTAGAGTATTATAAGATTAATTAAATTTATTTTTATTTTTAATAGTTAGCTTGGTGGTCAAGCACTTTTGATTATTATACATTGAACTATAAATGCTAAGTTGTTGGAATCTATAGTAATTTTGATTACACAAATAAGTATTAAGTTACTTGGGATGTAAATGAACAATTATATATATATATAAATACTAATTTAAACTACTTTTAAATTTAGCAAAACGGTGATTTTAGGCTTTATGATTACAAATGTACACAATTAGCATATAGGCACTGTGCAAAAAGTTGGATTAATCAACTAATAATAGATGAGCAATAAATGATCATAACAACAATAAGGTACTCTAATTTTTTGATTTAATAAAATATAAATTAATGATAAACTTTAATAACAGTTAGGATAACAAAGTAAAAACATTTAACTACCAAATCCTGCCAACTCCTGTTCTTTTGTATAATTTATTATAAAAAGTTAATTTTTATTTTGATTAAATTTGTCTTTTTATAGAAACTAATTGATTCTCCCATATTAACTTAACGATGGTTTTCTAGACAAAGACAATGGATATCTTTTAGTTGCAGATTTTAATGGTTACATATATATGATATCATATCCTTCACTAGTTTTGTAGTAAACAATTTAAGTCACATCCTAAAAGATAAATAATGTCTATTTAGATAAAATTCATAATTTATTTTTATTTGTAAGTTAACCTGCATAAACTATATCTTACTACAACTTAATTGAATTTCTTTAATCTAATGCCTACTCAGTCTCATTCAGAAATACAGGTATATATGCACTAATAGACCATTAATTTTATTTTTTTTCAATCTTAAAAAAGGTGTAATGTCTACTTTAAGCACAAAGCAAGGAATTATATTCCATTAACACACAAACATTGTATAAATTTGGGATTACTAAAATCAATCTCTTAGATATGGATTTTTTGTAAACGATTAGCTTCCCTTATATGAAGCCTAGAGTAGGTTTGCAATTTTATAGGGTCAAGATAATGTTAGTGCTTTTATAACTAGAGATCAAATCATATTCTTTAATATAAATACATTTGATATCATATACGTCTAATCTTTAAAGTGTTTGAGGAGTACATAACTTAATAACTATTTTATATGTTCTCAAGTTAATGTTTTGACTATCCTGAATGTTAATAGTTTTGCTTAAAGTTAGATTATTCAACTATAGTAAAGCTCTGCTGTTATATAGTTACAATCTATATTAGAGATTAATACCTTTTTTGTAACTACATCTTAAGGAGAGATTATATTTTTTACTCTTGACAATAATCAAAACATATTTTAGCAATAGTTGTATTCATAACTACTAACATAAGCTATTGCTAATTATTATTTTATTAGATTGAATTAAAATTACATGATCATAGCTTCTTCTTTTGATGGATAAATTGGATAAATGGTACTCTCATAAAAATTGAATATACTAAGCTAATAATAATTACCTTTACCTGGTTTAAGTTCTCATGCTCATGTTATGCTATAATACAATAACTAAGTAATCAAATTAATTTATTTTTTTTAATATACTTTTAAAAAAATGAGACATTCCATCTATTTCTCATATAAAAAAATTAAGTTATATATACCAATTTTTGGTATTTTTGGCCTTAAATAAGAAATGTTTTACCTACTTTATGGTCTTAAACACATAAAAAAATTCATAACTAAGCAGAAAATGTGATATGCAATTCATTACCTAATTTAATAATTACATTAGTAATTTTTAAAAAAGGGAATTATAAATGCAATCAATATTTAATTATTCTTTTTATACAAAATATTTATAAAAAAATTTCAAAAGAACGATTTTAATTTTTAGTTTAAAAGCAAATTATGATTAAAAAATTTTGATAAGTCAAATTATGAATTACTATAATCATCAATAACTAAATTTAAAAATTTTTTTTTAAGAATTATTAGTTGAAGAAAATAAAATTAAAATTTATTGATTCTCTATCAAAAATAAATTATATTTATTATCTTTACAATATATAGATAAACATATTCTTGATTTATAAAATTAAGTTTATAAAAATTTGATTTAATATTATGAACTGAAAGTTAAAATAAAGATTAAGTTTCAAAATTTAAATAATAACAGATATTACAAGTATTTTTGCATCAGAAAATTTTATTTATTTTTATTATAATTGTTTAAAAAAAATATAAAAATTGAAAAATATTTTTATTTATTTTTAACTTTTCTTATCAAAAAAAAAATAATAATAAAATATTTCTTTTAATAAATAAACAACTATTAATAAAATATAAGTTGATATTGTTTATTTTACCCAATTTTATATGCCTTAATGGTATTATAAGTTTATTACTAATATTTCAAAATAAAATTTTAAATAAAAACTTTTTAAAATGAAATTCTACTTTTGTGTAGAAATTTTTATTTAAAAGTTGTTTATTTTAAATTGATTATAAAATAGATATTTATCAAAAGAATACTCGATTTCTCCTTAAGTTTATACAACTCTAACGATTTCACTTAGTTTAGTACTCTCCCTAGCCCCTGTATTGGATACTCATACAAATTAGATATCAATCAAGATTTTGACTTAATTATTTAAAGTTGCATAGGAAATTACTAAATTAATTAACTTTCTTCTTTAAAAAATGTAGCTACTGGCAGGTATATTGCAAATTTGAATATTACAGATTATGTTTATACTCCTGATTGCAATTAGATTGTCTTCATAAACAAAGATTACTTCATTGATGCTTACTTCACCACAATTTTTATTTACTAAATAGATTATGCTAATTAAATAATAAAATAATTAGGTAATTTTTAATTAAATGGAATTGTCTTAGGGAGCATAGCTTCTTACAATACTTTTAGCTCAGCAGACAATATTTATGTCTAGTTAATTTTATATTCTCAGGATACAATTTCCTAAGTCTAGTTACCTATTTTTGGAGAAAAATCATGCTAATAATCACTCTCATCTCATAATTCGGCGAAGTGGTACTTTCTGTATAAAGCGTTTACTAACAAATATAAACATACTTTTAAATTCAAAGTATACAATTTAATGTTATTATAGATTAGGAAACTATTTTACTACCTTTTCCTTCTTTTTAATTTTCTGCAATTACTTAAATTAGCATAGTTGCTGATCAGACTAAAACTACTAAACAAAAAATAATTGTTAATGAGGAAATATTTTTTTCTTTTTCAGGTTATAACTTAATTTCATTAAATAATTTGTACATAGAGCCTGCTTCTTCTCAAAAAGATTACCTGCTGTTTAATATTCAAAATTTAACTTAATTTCAACTAAATAATGTCTAATTAGGTAATGAAAAATTATTTTCTTTCAATTTTAATTACATAGAAAGTGTGGTCTTTGATTAGCTATAGATTTTAAATATGACATAATCAGCATAAAATATAGTAACAATTTTCAATTTCTAGTAGGTGAATAATATGCTTTTTAATCAAATCAACGTATCATAGTCTAATTTCAGTTAGATCAATCTTTTTTTCTTTTAAAATGATGTTAATAATAACAAAAGCTTAATTAGATTTTAGGATTTGTAAATCCAGTAATCAGAATTTCTCTTTAGAGAAGATACAACAAGTACTTCAGCCATTTTTATTTCAAATTATAATAATGTCTCATTTGATAGAGTCAATATAAATTAAAATTCAGGTACTCCTATACCTATAATTAAAAGCTATGTTGTCTCTAATTTATCGTTAAGTAATATCAAGTTTACTAACAATAAAGAAATTATGCTATTTTCATATAACAGTAGCATAAGTTAAGTGGTAGCAAAAGTAGCTTTAAATTAGCAATTACTTGAAGATAATATAGCAATTTGGACATTAAATATATCTAGTAACTAATACAGCTTATTTTCAAAATACAGCATTGTATAAATATATAGCCTCAAATAGAAAATTTCTAAAGCTGATATCAATAACAATATTGATTTAAATTCATCTAATTAAATTTTGAATTTAAAAGCTTATTATCTGAATTGCACAGATGCTACTTTTATACAAAATTAAGGATTTTAAAATTTATTTGTTGTCCTAAATACCTAATTAGGTAATTTTTAGAGCTTAGTAGTTTGGAATAACTAAGCTGCTTAAAGTATTTTACTACTTTCATCTAAAGTATTAATATCTAATTCGTATTTGAAAGAAAATATATCTAACAATAAATTATTCTAAACCTCTGTGATAAACATACTTTCAAACTCATAAGTGTCCTTGTCTTCAACAGAGTTTGAATCTAATTAATCCTTTTTAGGGGGTTCAATATATGTATCTTAAAGTGATTTATAAATAGAATAAGTTTCATTTAAAAATGATATAAGTTAAAACTAAGGAGGATCTATATATTCAATTTAATCTACTCTTAGCCTAAGGTAAAGCTAATTTACAAACTGCTCATCTGATCTAGGTGGAAGCATATACATATAAAAAGGAAGCATAGAATTAAATTCTGTAAATTCTTCAAAATCAACTTCTAATGAAGATGGAGGCTTTTTATATGCTAGTAATATAGGATAATTTACATTATCAAATTTAAATCTATAGGATTGTATAGCTTTCAATGATGGAGGGTGTATATATCTAACATCATCTGGTGGAAATAGTTCTTTTATTGCCCAGTCTTTAATTTAAAATAGCAAAGCTTTTGGGTATTAATTTTAACTAATAAATTCATATATTTTATTTTTTGATTAGTTTTTTTATTTTATTTAAAATTAACTCATATTACAAATTAAATAATATATAGGAGCGGAGGAGGTATTTTACTTGATAATACTGATTTGTCTATAAACTAAACTTAGTTTGTAAACAATACCGCTGGAATAGGTGGAGCCATAAGATACTTAAATCTAAAACCTCTCTTTTTAATTTAAAACTCTAATGCCTCAAAAGATTCTTGTAAAACATTTAACCAAAATCATTGTTAATAGAATAAAGCTATCATTTTTGGAAATTCAATTGCCAGCTATCCACAATACGCTTCAATATTGCCAAGTAATGACTTCAAAGTTAATATTGATCACTATCCTAATGTTACACTAAGTAATTTTAGAAGTGGAATGAGTAGTTTTGATTTCTCAGTCTAATTTTTAGATGAATTCAAGAATCTTGTCTAATAAATTAATCTACAAGACCAGAGTAAAAAATTTTTATAAATCTTAGTTTAATCAATTAATTTTTTAAAAATTTAAGGTTTAACATAATCACTAAGCCAGAAACTAATTTAAGAAATTAGCTAATATAATTGCAGGGTGCAAATAAATCAAATAAGTACCTCATTAGAAGAAGAAACTATAAAAATAGATGGAGCAACACTAGTAGATTATGCTTATCATGGCAAAAACAAAATTGGATGCTTAATGAACAATTTTAAAATAGCTGGAATTCCAACAAAAAGTGGTTTAATGTCACTACAACTAAATGGAATGAAATCACTTTATGGATCAAATTAATTTAGTAATATTACAGATATTTAAATTAATGTATAATTTAGAGAGTGCTAAGTTGGAGAGTACTATACCTCAACATGTGATGGATGCTAGCTTTATGAGTGCACTTAATGTTTAAATGGTACATATTCTCTAGAGTAGCCTAAAATAGGAAAGAAAATTGAGTGCAATACTTGTGATACTTCTCAAACCAATTCTTGCTTTCTCAATTAGATAGTCTTAAAATAAAATTACTGGTAAATTAATTAATTATTATTTTAAAATTAATAAATCTATTTTGAATTTTAGGAGAGTGAGCAATCAATCTGATTAAATATTTTTTTGTAATTCTAATAATTGTAATGGTAATGAATCAAAAGGATATTGTTCAGAAGGGTATGTTGGAGCTTTGTGCTCATCATGTGATAATTATGGAAAAATTTGGGGACTATAGTATGGATAAAGTTAAGTAGGTAGCTAAGGTATTTAATGTATTAGGTGTGATTAAATAAAGGATAACGCATATAAGTAAATTTTGGTTCTTTTATCAGTTTTATTTTATTTGGGATTTTTAATTGTTGAATCCTAAAATAACAACTGTAAAATGTGCTAAATTAGAATTCTTTCTTCGATTAATGTTATTTAATTTGGAGTTTCTTAATTTATTCTTTAATCATCTGTCATATCAAAAATATTTATCAATTAATTTTACATCATTACATCCTTAAAAGAAAATCTATAAGTTAGTTTCCCTGATTTATTTTCTTTCTTATTCACTTTCCCAGAAGTAGCTTCATAACCTGTACTTGTCTTTTTATATTCACTAGATTGTAGTCTAAGCTCAATGCATACTTAAATTCCGATTTAATATTTGAGGTTTATTTATGTTTCAATTGTTCTCCCTCTAATATTTTTGATTCTTATCTACATTATGATGAAATTAATCATATATATTCTAAATTATGTAAAGCCAAAAGAAGCCTACTATTCGGAAATAAAATATAATAATGTAAATATGCTTATAAGCACTTTAATTGTTTTTACTTACCTTACTTCATAAAACATTTACTAAGCAGCTCTTTAGATAATTTTTTGCCAAAAATTTGATAATTAGTATTACATGAAAAGCTAAATGGATTAATAGTGCTACACTTAAGAGCATATTTACTACATAATCTTTTTAGTTTTACCTATTTTGATACTAGTGACTGTGATATATCCTTTGGTCATGTTATACATTTTATGTAAAAACAGCTCTAAACTCTTTGATAACACCTCTACAAATGTTATAAGGAGATATGGTTATTTCTTCTAAGGATATAAGAAAAATAGGTGGTGGTGGGAGCTTTTAAAAACAGAATACAAATTTATAGAATTACTATTAGCTACTTATTTTGCTTCTTAGCCTATTAATCAGCTTATCTCAATCATATTTGTATAGCTTATTTACTGTGCATTATTGACTTACTTTTCTCCTTATTAAGATAATAAAATAAATATTTTGGAGCTCAAATCTTCAATATAAACTTTACTTATCTTTTGGTTATCGCTATTTATATAATTAAATTCTAATATGGTTGCTTTAACCTAAATAGCTTCAGCTTTTTTAGTTACAACAATGATTATTTTATTTGGTATTTTTTTCATTATTTTAGTAAATTTTATTGATTTATTTTTAAATTAAGGTTCATTAGCAATAAACTTTTTTGAAGTTTTAGTCAAAAGAAACTATTACATAATTCTCAGATTAAAATGCTTAACCTATTTAATAACATTCTTAAAAACTAAAGTAATAAAAGATAGAGAGTGGGTTAAAAAATATGTTTTTAAAAATTATTGGATCTTATATAATATAATTTATAAAAAAAACTATAATCCTTTTGCAACTTTTAATAAGTATTCAATTATCTAATTTTCAATAAACATTAATCTAATTTTTTGTAAAAATAGTTGGAGAAAGCTTAGAAGTATCTTTTTAAAAGGAGAGCTTAAAATAATTGAGATATAAAAACTCTAAAACCGTATAAGCAAACAAAGTGTATCTAACTTAAATGTATCTCCGTCTTAAAAATCAAATATTTTTGGTGAGAATAGTTAGAATTCTTTGATAAAAACAAACTCTATTGGGTAATTTTGTTTGTTTTTTTTAATAATTTAAAATTTAAAAATATTAAAATTTTATTTATTTAGTATTAATAAAAATCATGACTTTATACTTGAAGATACTCTTTTAAAAGATAATATTCCTACTTTAAGCTAGGATAGAGGATCCAGCTAATTTTATAAATACAAATTTTATCTAGATTTGAAAAAAAATGTCAATTTATGACTTTTTTTGTTTAGATCAAAATTATTTTTTATTTGTTTTAAGTTTGTTATGATTTAAATCAATAAATTTAAAATTATATTAAAAAACTGTTTATTCATTTCATTCAAAAAATATATATTTATTTAAAAAAGCTGACAATTTATGAATTTTAACTTTTTTTACATTTTTTATGATATTTTGATAAAATTTAAAATAAATTCTTTGATTTGAATAAATCAAATTATATAAGTTAAATTAATTTAATATATGCCAAAATAATCAAGAAGCTATTATCAAAGATGAAATTAACATCGCTTCGTAATTTTATTTAAAAAAAATAGATTTTTAAAACTGATTGTTAGAAAACCTTTTTTTGTACTAATTTAACTCTTATTTTTTGAAAAAAGCTACTTCTCGCCAATTCCCCTCATCTTCATAAATGGGGTTTCACGGCATTATAAATTGATTATTTTGTTTTATTTATAATGTAATTTATAATAAATTATTAATTATTTAAATCAAAAATATTTCACTTATATGATTTACTGTATTTAATAAATATCATCAATTTTATTAACCTTTAAATTACTAATTAAAGTAAATTAAATTTCAAGACATATAATAATTAACTTTATTCTAAATAATTGAATTTTTAAATATTTTCAACTTTAAAATTATTTTTCAATTAACAGTTTTTCTAAATCACCTGCTTTAATCAAAATTAAACTGTGTAAAATTATACTAAATAAAAAGAAAAATCAAAGATTTTTCTAGAAAAAAAAAATTGCAATACATATACCAAATTTTTAATTATATAATCTTCTTATTAATTACAATTTTCAATTGAGGAATTTAAATAAGAGCTAAATAAATAATTCTTATTTTCAAAATTAGGAAAATCATTCAAGCATTTTCGTCAAAATTAATTAATCTCTAACTTTATTTAGCCGATAAACATTATTATTAATGAGCCAATATGATATTTTATTTTTATATCAATAAATTTTTGCTAAATTAAATAAATATTACTGGATTATAAAGAATTTACAAAATACTTTTTTTTAATCATACATAAATTATTGATTTTCTAAATTATTTTAAACAATCCAATATGCTTTAATAATACAAAAATTTAACTCCACTTCTTAATTTTTTTCTCTTTTTAATATTTTTGTGTACTCTCTATCTAAAACTTTCAAAGTAGTATTTATTTATTTAGATTTTAGAAACAATTACTCTTAAAATCGATCTATAAGCAAAATTTAGTTTTTTCTTATTTGAAAGATAAAGAAAGATTCATTAAAATTGTAAGGTATTCAAAACAAAAACTAATTAAATTAATAACTATTTTAATAGTAGTAGAACTTTTTAAAAAAAATATTTTAATTAGAAAATTATTAAAAAATATTTTGTTAGGCTTAAATTGTTGAAAAGATGATTGTATTATATTTAAATAAATTAGAAATTTTATTATGTTATCATTTGCTTATTCATTTTTAAAAAAAAAAATTTAATTTTTGGAATTAAAAATAATACTTTGTAATTTTTTACAAATATTTTTAAATTTTAATTTTTTTAATAAACACTTTAAAATATTTAAAAATAAATGGTAAATATATATATTTATATTTAAGCTTTTTTGAATAGCAGCTCATATATAAAGATTCTACTGAGAAATTAAAGTAAATTATGGAACAAAGTAGTTCAAAGTAGCAATTTTTTTAATTAATATGAATATCAGTAATTTATTGTTATTTAAAAATAGTTAATAAAGGTATTTACTTTTTAAAAAAAAAGCCTATTTATGTGAGTATGTATGGGAAATCGAAGAAAAAATAACAAAAATATGACTCAATAAAATCTTGATACATAAAGGCTTAATAAAATGAACAATTTTTTTAAATAATAATCAATTTATATTATTAAATTTAAATTAAATAATTGAAAACAAAATAATATAATGAGTAGAATTAACTTCTTATTTATCAAAGCGCTTTTTATTTTACTTTTATATGTTGTAACAGTAAAATGCATTGGATGTCCTTTCTGGCAAATAGGATCTAGTGATATTAATGTGAACATAATCTAGAAAATCATTCTTCTGAAATCTAATCCCTAAAATTAAGTAGAAGACATAGCAGCGATTGCCTATCAGCCATTTAATGTAGGAATATTTAACATTCAGAAAAATAAATAATACTAATTGATGGGATAGTCTGAGAGTGTGACACTCTATCAAATGGATAAAGATGATAGACCATAGCTTAAGGTTTCCATAATAAATACTCTAGATGCAAACGGAAGAGTTATTTCATGGAATTCTGGAAATGGATCTAGATAATAAGTAATTTAAATTCCTCTGAATATTGCTGTAAAACCTAACTCTTGCTTAAATTCACAAGAAATGCTAGTTATAACATGGGACACATAATCAGTAAATTTCTTTTTGATTTTTATTAGCTTCAAAATTGTTTAATTAACTAAATAAAGATCAATTAATCAACCAATAAATCAATCATTAATCAATATTACTTCCTTTTCTCTTTAAGATTAATAAAATTATGCAGATATATTTCTAGAAATCTAATGTTTTTTTCTTCTTTAAACCCCCAGAGTTAATGTATACCTATTTCTAAAGGTTCTCTTTTTTTTTATTTAAATGTTATTCTAAAACTCTACCATACATATTTTTCTTTTATAATTAAATAATATTAATCTTATTTTAAACGGTATATTTACTGCTCATCCTTTCATTAATTATTAACTCATTTTGATAATTAAAAAGTTATTTGTTGTTGATTTTTCTTCTCCAAACGATGCAAGCTCTAACGTGTAAGCTCTTTAATTGGCTTCTGGAAATAGTTTAGCTTAATGTGTTAATGATAAGCTAAATAGAAGATTTTTACTTGCGAATACTTAGGGAGTCATATTTTCTTATGATATTTAAACTTAGAAATTTGTTTAATTATTTTAGCTCAATTCTTTTTCTAGTTTACAGTCAATATTCCCAACTTAGAATACAATTGCTATTTCTTACGCACAAATATCTGGATAGAGCTATGCTGTTTCTTACATAAACTCTACTCTCTAATTCTCGCAAACACTCCCTTAAATTTCAACATAGATTTTAGTGAATAAACAAGAAGATTAATTAGTAATCATCGGAAATTCTAACTTATTCTAAGTTTGGAATACTCAGTCAAATCAGAAAGTATATCAACCTAATTTTCAACAAATTTAGTGTGATTAAAAAGACGCAAATTAAACAAGTGTTAATTCTTCTATTAGTTTTACATTTGGATCAATCAATTAAAATGATGAAATTGCAGTAGTATCCAATTAATATGTTTTTGCTTATTCTATGTCACAATAAAAGCCTTTGCTTTTTAAAAGTTAAAACTTTGGAGTCTACCTTATCCAAGCTTTTGTTCTTTAAAATAAAGTAATATTGAATTAGTAGTACTCTGTAGCTAACTTCGATTTACTCACTTCTAAATACCAATATGTTACAAACGTCTTTACAAGCTAAAAAACATCTTATGATGTAGTTACTAAAATTGAGATTGATTCTAATTTGAATAGGTATTTATTTATCTTTAAATTGTAATTACTTTATTTTAATAATATTAAATTAGAATAATCAGGATAGATTTATCAGGTAAAATTTATTATATATTGGTCTATTTTTGATAACATAGAAGATAATATGATCAATTATACGAATGCAAACTCCACTTTTTTCATTGATAGATAATTAAATAAGGTAAAATGAAATTTCTTTACTTTTCTAACCATCATAATTTCTAAATTTTAAAAATTATAAGCAACTGATATATATATTTAATTTCTTATTAATTTTATTTTTTTAATGATAATTCAAAACAAAATTAAAAAAATATACTAAGTTTAGAAAAGTGTCTCAAATTTACAATTTAGATAAAATAAAAATACAGATTATTTTAAAAAATAACTAGTCCGCTCTTAATTTTAGTTTAGAATTTTAATGAAAAATAAATCATTTTCTAAAAATAAAATTAAATTTCATGCCAATATAATTTTAGATTAATTTCATAAAATATTTAGATAACAAAAATTAATATGCAATCTTTCTATTGCTTACTTCCAATTTAATCAATGTTATTTTAACAAAAATAATTTAGATGGTCTAATTTTCTTATTTTACTACTAGTGGAGGTTTAAATCAAATATTTGTATTTGACTATATTTAAGGAACGCTAATTGATAGAATTAGTAATCCTTTTACTAGTAGCGATAGCTAAACTTTTAATCTTTATCAAGATAAGACAAACGGATATATGGTAGGTTTCATATTAGAATCAACTTCTTATATGATATATAAATTTAATAAAGACCTTGACCACTCTTTGATATTTAAAGGAATTTTAGTTATCAATGGTAGAATTAATGGGCCTGTAAAATTAATTGAGATTAGTTAGTAAATATTGCTGCAAGTTAATAGTAAATTATATTTATTTAACTATTTCTATTCAAGTGGAAGCTCAAATTAACCTGTCAGTTTTTAAGGTTCCAATGCTACTATTTCTTAATACTATTTCATCAGCTCAATCAATTAATTAGTTGCTATTTCATAATAGGTTATTTAAGTAAATTGCTTTTTATTAAGCAAACAAATAAAAAATATTAATTTTAAAAGATATACACATATAATAGTAATAAGTTAAGTTTGACGAATTCAATAAGTTATTATACAGGGACGAGTAGCTCAATAACTTTAGTATAAGAATAATAGATAATTATTTTAAATAGAGGAAATCAGCTATTTCTTAAAAACTATCAAACTATGCAAGAAAACATATTGGATTTTGTTGATTAATCTGTTCTTATGTACAAATATGATGGACCTAGAGCTCTTTTGATTATCATTTTAGCTAACTATAAAATAGAGGTTATAAATATTGTATAAGCCAAGGTTCTCTATCTATTACAACTTAATAATAATGCTTTGCAAATGATGGATATATTTCCTCAATATAATTTAGTAGTTGTATCATACCAAAATGGATAAGTTATTTACTACAATTACATTACAAATACTATTCTCTCAATTTTCAATAACCAGTTTTTTAATGACTTTGAACAATTAGATAGTAGTTCCAACTCCTTAGTAATAAAGTCTAACCTAAAAGTATAGCCTAATACTAAACACAATTACTATTTCATTTATATATTTTATAAATATTAGATTTTCACAAGAAGGATGACAAATCTAGGATTGATAAATTAGGTTTAAGAAAATGTAGCTATCAATAGTTATTTTATTGACATCAAAAGTGGTTTGAGTTTTACTTTAACAAATAAAGTAAAAATATTCAATCACTTAACATAACAGTACCTTCCAAATTTTAACAGCAACCTAAATTTATCACCTTATATCATATACTCTCTTCCTTCCCAAAACTGGATATTTCTTGGATATTTAAATTCAACAGTAAATATTGTTTATGTCTACAGGCTGGATAATTACTAATAAATAGGAATAATGGACCACAATTTAACTTAATGTAATAAAATTAACAAATTTTATCATGATGTTAAAATGAATAGATTGTTTTCTTCTTGTATATCTCCTGGGACTGTAGTTGTTTGGGATTTAAACAACAATTTTACACTTATATAGTCTTTGATAAATGCAAATCCAAGTGCTATTTCTAGTATATCCTTCAACTAAAATTTAGGAATTATCACTATAATGGGAGTAGGAAAATTTAATATTTTAAGATTAATTAAATTTATTTTTATTTTTAATAGTTAGCTTGGTGGTCAAGCACTTTTGATTATTATACATTGAAATATAAATGCTAAGTTGTCGGAATCTATAGTAATTTTGATTACACAAATCAGTATTAAGTTACTTGGGATGTAAATGAACAATTTTATATTTTTACTAATTTAAACTACTTTTAAATTTAGCAAAATGGTGATTTTAGGCTTTATGATTACAAATGTACACAATTAGCATATAGGCACTGTGCTAAAAGTTGGATTAACCAACTAATAATAGATGAGCAATAAATGATTATAACAACAATAAGGTATTCTAATTTTTTATTTAATTAAATATAAATTAATGATAAACTTTAATAATAGTTAGGATAACAAAGTAAAAACATATAACTACTAAATCATTCCAACTCCTGTCCTTTTGTATAAATATAAATAATTTATTTTTTAATTTGATTTAATTTATCTTTTTATAGAAACTAACTGATTCTCCCATATTAACTTAACGATGGTTTTCTAGACAAAGACAATGGATATCTTTTAGTTGCAGATTTTAATGGTTACATATATATGATATCATATCCTTCACTAGTTTTGTAGTAAACAATATAAGTCACATCCTAAAAGATAAATAATGTCTATTTAGATAAAACTCATAATTTATTTTTATTTGTAAGTTAACCAGCACAAACTATCTCTTACTACAACTTAATTGAATTTCTTTAATCTAATGCCTACTCAGTCTCATTCAGAAATACAGGTTTATATTCATTAATTGACCATTTAATTTATTTTTTTTCAACTTTAAAAAGGTGTAATGTCTACTTTAAGCACAAAGCAAGGAATAATATTCCATTAACACAGGAACATTGTATAAATTTGGGATTACTAAAATCAATCTCTTAGATATGGATTTTTTGTAAACAGTTAGGCTCCCATATATGAGTCTTAGAGTATGTTTACTATTTTGTAGGGACAAGATAAAGTTTGTGCTTTGATAACTAGAGATTAAATAATATTCTTTAATATTAATACATTTGATATCATATATGCCTAATCTTTAAAGTGCTTGAGAAGTACACAACTTGATAACTATTTTATATGTTCTCAAGCTAATGTTTTGACTATTCTGAATGTTAATAGTTTTGTTTAAAGTTAGACAATTCAACTATAGTAAAGCTCTGCTGTTATATAGTTACAATCTATATTAGAGATCAATACCTTTTTTATAACTACATCTTAAGGAGAAGTTATATTTTTTACTCTTGACAATAATTAAAATATATTTTAGCAATAGTTGTATTCTTAAATGTTAACATAAGCTATTGCTAATTATTGTTTTTTAAGATTGAATTAAAATTACATGATCATAGCTTCTTCTTTTGATGGATAAATTGGATAAATGTTACTCTCGTAAAAGTTGAAAATACTTAACTAACAATAATTACCTTTACCTGGTTTAAGTTCTCATGCTCACGTTATGCTATAGTACAATAACTAAGTAATCAAATTAATTTATTTATTTTAAGTTATACTTTTCAAATAACAATATACTGCCTTTCATTAATATGTCATATAAAAGAATAAGTTATTTGTATCAATTTGTGGTATTTTTGAAACATTTAAGAAAAAGTAAAAAGTAAAAAATATTTCAATATTATAAACCTTAATACCTTATTAAGTTTTTTCTAATTTTACAAAATAAAATTTAAGAAAATACTTTTTAAAATGCTATACAACTTTTGTGAAGAAATTTTAACTTAAAAATTTTTTATTTTAAATTGATTATAAAATAGATATTTATCAAAAGAATACTGGATTTCTCTTTAAGTTTATACAATTCTAATAATTTCACTTAGTTTAGTATTATCCCTAGCCCCTGTATTGGTTACTCATACAAGTTAGATATCAGTTAAGATTTTGACCTAATTATTTAAAGTTGCATAGGAAACTACTAAATTAATTAACTTTCTTCTTTAAAAAATGTAGCTACAGGCAGGTATATATCAAATCTGAATATTACTGATTTTGTTTATACTCCTGATTGCAATTAGATTGTCTTCATAAACAAAGATTACTTCATAGATGCATACTTCAAGACAATTTTTATTTATTAAATAGATTACGCTAATTAAAAAGTGAATTAATTAGGTAATTTTTAATTAAATGGAATTGTCTTAGGGAGCATAGCTTCTTACAATACTTTTAGCTCAGCAGACAATATTTATGTTTAGTTAATTTTGTATTCTTAGGATACAATTTCACAAGTTTAGTTACCTATTTTTGGAGAAAAATCATGCTAATAATCACTGTCATCAGCATAATTTGGCGAAGTGGTACTTTCCGTATAAAGCGTTTACTAACAAATTTAAGCATACTTTAATATTTAAAGTATAAAATTTAATGTTATTATAGATTAGGAAACCATTTTGCTACCTTTTCCTTCTTTTCAATTTTCTTAAATTACCTAAGTTAACATTGTTGCTGATCAGACAAAAACAGTTCAACAAAAAATAATTGTTAACGAGGAAATATTTTTTTCTTTTTCAGGTTATAACTTAATTTCATTAAATAATTTGTACATAGAGCCTGCTTCTTCTCAAAAAGATTACCTGCTGTTTAATATTCAAAATTTAACTTAATTTCAACTAAATAATGTCTAATTAGGTAATGAAAAATTATTTTCTTTCAATTTTAATTACATAGAAAGTGTGGTGTTTGATTAGCTATAGATTTTAAATATGACATAATCAGCATAAAATATAGTAACAATTTTCAATTTCTAATAGGTGAATAATATGCTTTTTAATCAAATCAACGTATCATAGTCTAATTTCAGTTAGATCAATCTTTTTTACTTTTAAAATGATGTTAATAATATCAAAAGCATAATTAGATTTTAAGATTTGTAAATCCAGTAATCAGAATTTCTCTTTAGAGAAGATACAACAAGTACTTCAGCCATTTTCATTTCAAATTATAATAATGTCTCATTTGATAGAGTCAATATAAATTAAAATTCAGGTACTCCTATACCTATAATTAAAAGCTATGTTGTCTCTAATTTATCGTTAAGTAATATCAAGTTTACTAACAATAAAGAAATTATGCTACTTTCATATAACAGTAGTATTAGTTAAGTGGTAGCAAAAGTAGCTTTGAATTAGTAATTACTTGAAGATAATATAGCAATTTGGACATTAAATATATCTAATAATTAGTACAGCTTATATTCAAAATACAGCATTGTATAAATAAATAGCCTCTAATAGATAATTTCAAAAGCTGATATCAATAATAATACTGATTTAAATTAATCTAATTAAATTTTGAATTTAAAAGCTAATTATATGAATTGCACAAATGCTACTTTTATGTAAAATTAAGGGTTTTAAAATTTATTTGTTGTCCTAAATACCTAATTAGGTTATTTTTAGAACTTAATAGTTTGGAATAACTAAGCTGCTTAAGGTGTTTTACTACTTTCATCTAAAGTATTAATATCTAATTCATCTTTGAAAGAAAATATATCTAACAATAAATTATTCTAAACCTCTGTGATAAACATACTTTCAAACTCATAAGTGTCCTTGACTTCATCTGAGTTTGAATCTAACTAATCCTTTTTAGGAGGTTCAATATATTTATCTTAAAGTGATTTATAAATAGAATAAGTTTCGTTTAAAAATGATATAAGTTAAAACTAAGGAGGATCTATATATTCAATTTAATCTACTCTTAGCCTAAGGTAAAGCTAATTTACAAACTGCTCATCTGATCTAGGTGGAAGCATATACATATAAAAAGGAAGCATAGAATTAAATTCTGTAAATTCATCAAAATCAACTTCTAATGAAGATGGAGGCTTTTTATATGCTAGTAATATAGGATAATTTACATTATCAAATTTAAATCTATAGGATTGTATAGCTTTTAATGATGGAGGGTGTATGTATCTAACATCATCTGGTGGAAATAGTTCTTTTATAACCCAATCTTTAATTTAAAATAGCAAAGCTTATGGGTATTATGTTTAACTAATAAATTCTCTTATTTCATTTTTTTATTAGTTTTTTTTATTTTATTTAGAATTAATTAAAATTACAAATTAAATAATAAATAGGAGCGGAGGTGCTATTTTACTTGATAATACTGATTTGTCTATAAACTAAACTTAGTTTGTAAACAACACTGCTGGAATAGGTGGAGCCATAAGATACTTAAATCTAAAACCTCTCTTTTTAATTTAAAACTCTAATGCCTCAAAAGATTCTTGTAAAACATTTAGCCAAAATCATTGTTAACAGAATACAGCTATCATTTTTGGAAATTCAATTGCTAGCTATCCATAATATGCTTCAATATTACCAAGTAAAGACTTCAAAGTTAATATTGATTACTATCCTAATGTTACACTAAGTAATTTTAGAAGTGGAATGAGTAGTTTTGATTTCTCAGTCTAATTTTTAGATGAATTCAAGAATCTTGTCTAATAAATTAATCTACAAGACCAGAGTAAAAAATTTTTATAAATCTTAGTTTAATTATATTTATAAAAATTTAAGCCTTAACATAATCTCTAAGCCAGAAACTGATTTAAGAAATTAGTTAATATAATTGCAGGGTGCAAATAAATCAAATAAGTACCTCATTAGAAGAAGAAACTATAAAAATAGATGGAGCAACACTTGTAGATTATGCTTATCATGGCAAAAACAAGATTGGATGCTTAATGAACAATTTTAAAATAACAGGAATTCCAACAAAAAGGGGTTTAATATAACTGCAGCTAAATGGAATGAAATCACTTTAAGGATCAAATTAATTTAGTAATATTACAGATATTTAAATTAATATATAATTTAGAGAGTGCTATGTTGGAGAGTACTATACCTCAACATGTGATGGATGCTAGCTCTACGAGTGCACTTAATGTTTAAATGGTACGTATTCTCTAGAGGAGCCCAAAATAGGAAAGAAGATTGAGTGCAAAAGTTGTGATACTTCTCAAACCAATTCATGCTTTCTCAATTAAATAGTCTTAAAATAAAATTACTGGTAAATTATTAATTAATTAATTTTTATTTTAGAATTAATAAATATATTTTGAATTTTAGGAGAGTGAGCAATCAATCTGATTAAATATTTTTTTGTAATTCTAATAATTGTAATGGTAATGAATCAAAAGGATATTGTTCAGAAGGGTATGTAGGAGCTTTATGCTCATCATGTGATAATTATGGGAAAATTTGGGGACTATAGTACGGATCAAGTTAGGTAGGTAGCTAAGGTATTTAATGCATTAGGTGTGATTAAATAAAGGATAACGCATACAAGCAAATTTTAGTCTTTTTATCAGTTTTGCTTTATTTGGGATTTTTAATCATCGAATCCTAAAGTAATAACTGTAAAATGTGCTAAATTAGAATTCTTTCTTCGATTAATGTTATTTAATTTGGAGTTTCTTAATTTATTCTTTAATCATCTGTCATATCAAAAATATTTATCAATTAATTTTACATCATTACATCTTTAAAAGAAAATCTATAAGTTAGTTTCCCTGATTTATTCTCTTTCTTATTCACTTTCCCATAAGTAGCTTCATAACCTGTACTTGTCTTTTTATATTCACTAGATTGTAGTCTAAGCTCAATACATACTTAAATTCCAATTTAATATTTGAGGTTTATTTACATTTCTATCGTTCTCCCTCTAATATTTTTGATACTTATCTACATTATGATGAAATTAATCATATATATTTTAAATAATATAAATCCAAAAGAAGCCTACTATTTGGAAATAAAATATAACAATGTAAATATGCTTATAAGCACTTTAATTGTTTTTACTTACCTTGCTTCATAAAACGTTTACTAAGCAGCTCTTTAAGTAATTTTTTGTCAAAAATTTGATAATTAGTATTACATGAAAAGCTAAATGGATTAATAGTGCTACACTTAAGAGCATATTTTCTACATAATCTTTTTAATTTTACCTGTTTTGATACTGGTGACTATCATATATCCTTTAGTAATGTTGTACATTTTATGTAAAAACAGCTCTAAACTTTTTGATAACACCTCTACAAATGTTATAAGGAGATATGGGTATTTCTTCTAAGGATATAAGAAAAATAGGTGGTGGTGGGAGCTTTTAAAAACAGAATACAAATTTATAGAATTACTATTAGCTACTTATTTTGCTTCTTAGCCTGTTAATCAACTTATCTCAATTATATTTGTCTAGCTTGTTTACTGTGCATTATTGACTTACTTTTCTCCTTACTAAGATAATAAAATAAATATTTTGGAGCTCAAATCTTCAATATAAACTTTGCTTATCTTTTGGTTATCGCTATTTATATAATTAAATTCTAATATGGTTGTTTTAACCTAAATAGCTTCAGCGCTTCTAATTGCAACTATGATTATTTTATTTGGTATTTTTTTCATTATTTTAGTAAATTTTATTGACTTATTTTTAATTTAAGGTTCCTTAGCAATAAACTTTTTTGAAGTTTTAGTGAAAAGAAACTACTATTTAATTCTGAAATGGAAATGCTTGAATTATTTAATAACATACTTAAAAAGTAAAGTAATAAAAGATAGAGAGTGGGTTAAATCATATTTTTTTAAAAATTATTGGATCTTGTATAATTTGATTTATAAACAAAACTATAATCCTTTTGCAGCTTTTAATAAGTATTTAATTAATAACTAATTTTCAACAAACATTTATCTAATCTTTTGTAAAAATAGTTGGAGAAAGCTTAAAAATATGTTTTTAAAAGGAGAGCTTAAAATAATTGAAATATAAAAACTCTAAAATCGTATAAGGAAAAATAGTGGATCTAACTTAAATTTATCTCCGTCTTAAAGATCTAATATATTTGCTGAGATTAGTTATAATTCTTTAATAAAAACTTATTCTATTGAGTAATATTATTTTTTTATTAATATAAAATTTTAGTTTTTAAAATTTTCATTTGTTTATAAGGAATAGAAATGATGACTTTATACTAGAAAATACTCCTTTAAAAGATAATAGTCCTACTTATAACTAAAATAGAAGATCTAGCTAATTTAAAAAATAAAAATTTTATTTAGATTTTAAAAGTGTTATCAATTAATGATTTTTTATGTTTAGATCAAAAGTATTTTGTTTGTTTTAAGTTTTTAAGACGTAAATGAATAAATTTTAAATGAGGTTATTTAAAAAAATAGAAGATATAGGTACTTTAAAAAATACATAATTAGATATGATAATTTTTATATTTTTATGATAAAAATTTATAAATTTAAAAAAATAAAAATTTTATTAAAATAATTTATAAATATTTATTTTAGATTATGATTATTTCTTGTTGTTTGCTTATTTAATTAATTTTTTAGATTTTTAAAGATTAAATTATATTTAATAATAATTTTTAAATTTTAAGAAAAAGTGAACCTTTTGTTATTATAAAATCTATTATTTAATAGGATTCAATTTATCAATTAACTATTGTTTTAATAAAGATTATAAATGTAATTAATTATTTTAAGAAAACTATAATTTGTTTTTATATTTGATTATTAATTATTTTTTAGAATATATATAAGGTTAAATTATCAGATATGTTATTCATATAACCATTCTAAAGCTTCGCTAAGTCCTTCCCCAGAGAAACAATTAGTTTCAAAGATTTAATAAAATATTTTGTCCTTATACTAGTCAATTCCAATATACTTTATAATTTCATCTTCTTAATATTTTTTTTTATCACTTTTATTTGCAATAATCAAAACAGGAATTATTTTTTATATTTAGTTTTGATTAAAAAATGTTTTTAGTTTAGACTATAGGAGTTCTTTTTCTTATAAATTGGAAGAGTCTATAACAATTATTAGCCCCTCATATATTGCCATGCAATGAGAAAACAAAGAATTAAAATTAAGCCTTCCACTAAAATCTGTTATTTAGAATTCAATATTATTATAATTAATTTGTACAATATCAATTCCATTATTTGGTAAAGTATGCAGTATTGTATTATATTTCCATTAATTTAAGATAGATGTTTTTCCTGTAAACTAGGCTCCTATCATCAAAAGTTTTATTGATCTTTATTTCGCTTTAGTAAAAGCAAAAAATGGTTAAAGCTGCCCCATTCTCTTTTTAATAAGCTCTTATTAGATTAAGTAAATTTGTCAATATAAAAAATATAAAAGATTTTCTTATGAGATATTCTGTCTGAAAGGAAAGTAGAATTTATTGAAGATAAATTCTTAATTACTTTTTTTTATTAAAAATAAGTGTATTGATAATTTAATTATAATTAATTAGATTGAACAATTTTAATCATTTTTCATTTGAATTTGTAATAGAAAACTCATAAAAATAACTTCAAATTACAAGATTTAAATTCAGTATTTAAAATATCATAATAAAATATTTAAAAATTCTTAAAATAAAATTTTTTTTTATTGCTCCTTAAAAAATCATAAGAAATATTATTTGAAAAGGAATAAAGTATTTATCAATTTAAATATCAGCTATCTTATGAATAAGTAATGTTTTTACAGAAATTCAATATACCATTAGTTTTATTTGATCATGTAGCTTTTATAATTTTATAATTTTAGATTATTAAATATAAAAAATGAAATGCTTTGATAGTGGTATTTAGATGGTAATAAAATAAAATTTAAGCCAATCAAATGTCTTTTAATCTATATTTTTCTTTATATTAGGATTGGTTTTATGTATTTAACAAATTAGTTGTTTATAATAAAACCAAAAAAGGCAAATAGCCTGATTTAGATTATATCAAATTTTAATTATTTTGTTAAGAATACTACTTTTGAAGTATTTATCAAATGGAAAATTCGGCTAATAAACGGAATCCAAATAGCTATGAAAAAAAGCAGAAAATTTATTATGAGCAAGAATAGGATGAAATATTTTCAAAATACCCTTTTTTTCATTAAGGAATTCCTGATTTACCTTAAGAGTTATACCCATTACCAAAGAGGAGAATGAATTATAAGATAGACGAATTATAGCAATAAGATAATAAAGGAAGATAAAGAAGAAGGAGCAGCAATATGATCACTGAGGAAATTCCAATTTACTTAAACTTTGCAAAAAATAATGGTTAGCAAGACTCTTCTGAAGAAAGGTATTTGTATCCTCAATTTACAAAAAAATAGCTAAAAGATTAAGAGAGAAATTTGTGCATTGCTAATGAGCAAAAAAAATAAACAAGTTAAAAAGTTAAAGATGAAAAGGAAACAAAAAAAAAGGCTTATTAGCAGTATTTAGAGTAAATGAATGACAAAATGTTTGATTAAGTTGTAGAAATGACAAAGATCCCAGAAAAAAAGATTCAAATAAACATGGATGAACAAGACATTTCGATCGAATTAGTAAATAAAAGTGATATTAGAAGAAAAGAAGAGGGAGATGAAGCATTTTATGAAAAAGAAAGAAACTTATTAGAAAAAAAGAGGACTCTCAAATAAAAATTAGTTGATAAATTCAAGATTAGACTGAATTTTGAAGCAGAAGAATTTTTAGATAAAAATGTTTATGATTTTTATAACAAATAATAAATAAATGAAATTAAATCCTTAAGAAAATAATCACTCGAGCTAAATCCATATTCATAGTAAAATGGTATTAATAAATCTAACAACAAGCAAAGCTAAGATAATAAAGTAAAAAGTTTGTATACTTAACAAAAAAATTCAGAAGGAGAATTGCCTTCTTCTCTTCAGTAGCAAATATCAAAAAACCATCAAAGAAAATTTAATAGTTTATAAACATCTCCAAGAATGAGTAATATCGAATAAAGTTATTTAAATCAACAAATTAAATAAGATAATAATTAAGTTTCTATTTAAGCTTTGATAAATCAATAGAAAAATGAATAAAACATACTAAATTATGGGTAATCATCTTATAATAATTAAAATATCTTAAACCCAATCATTATTAAGAATTCTACCAGGAATATTTTGAATAATTCTTAAAATTACAATATATAAAATAATCAAAATTAGTTATACAACGAAAACCAAAAAATTATTTAATAGAGCTAATAATGTAAATCAAGTAAATCTGTAGACGCTAATTCAACATAGGAAGGTAGTATAATTACAAGCAAAAGATTTAGTTTATTGAAAAAAATGAATGAAAAGTAATTTGATTCAGGATAAATTTCTACTTTATAAGACAGATTTAAGAACGAATAAACAACTTAGTTAACAGAATCATCTCCTAAAGTCATTCAGTTAAAAACTTCTCCTGGTAAGAGATTTAGAGAAGAAAGTCCATTTTTAACTTCAACCGTCAATTAATAAATATAAACAACTTAAAATGAATAATAAAAACCGTCTAAAAGCATATTAGAACTACCCATTAATTAATACCATATGCCAACAGAAGCCAGTTAGCAATATTCTCCAAATGCAAACGAAAGAAGTGGGAATTTATCACCTTTTTTGTATTAGAGTTCCTCAAGGAATTCAAGTTAATTTCCTCTAATATCTATAAAAAATAATAATCATAGGATAAATAGTAGCTTCAGCAGATATAAGGTGGTTTCTCCTCATTCTAATAGAAACAACATGTATTCTTTCTCGAAAGAAAACAGTAATTCTTCAATCCTTTAATAAAGTGGAGAAGCCTTAGAAGCTTTAAAAAAAGAAAATCAAAAACTTCTGAACAGCAAATATACAAGACAGCATGCTTAAATAATAAACAGTATAAGAAAAAAATCAATGCAAATTGAACAATCAATGAAAGAAACAGACGAATCATTTTAATAATTAGTAAGCAAAGTCAAGAATGAACAAGTTAAAATATTAACTAATTTAAATGTGGCTAAAGCACCTTAATCTGTTCAAATAAAACTAATTAATGATTTTTAAAACATTTTAAGTGTATATGGTGCACAGTTAAACTGAATTATCCCATTTTAATTGTTTTAAATAATGTAAATATTATATAAAAATTTATCTTATCATATTAAAAAAATTTTAATTAACTTTTTATTTGTTTTAATTTGTAAATAAATATCATGCAAATATAAAGATAAATATCTTAAAAAACTTATCAAGTGGTCTAAACTATATTTGATTTTTTATTTTCTATTTTTTAAGTTAAAAAATATGAAATTTGAAATAAAATATATTATATAATTTATTATTTTTATAATTCATATTGAAATTTAATTATATTAATACTTCTTTTGATAAAATAAAATAACCATTTTAACTCTTTAATATTATTAATTTATTGTCTTTCTCATATTAAAGTAGTATCTAAAATTATATTTTTTATTTAATAAATTCTGAATACTTCAGAGACATTAGCAACTAATTACTACAATGAAAGAGAAATGAAAAATTTATAGCTCTTTTTAATAATTTAATTTCATAAAATATGGATAAATAATCCTAATAGTGGTAATGATTATTTTTATAGAATTTTATAATAGTTTTTCATTTACTAACAATAAAAAAATAATAAGTAAATTAATTAATTTTCAATAATTTATATGTTGATAGTAAGAATTAGTTATGAAATAGAATTATAAAGAAAAATCACAAAATAAAAAAATAAAATTCTAAATACCAATTAAAAAAAATATTATTTTAGCTAAAACAAACCAAAAATTTTATATTTTAATTAATTATTTAATAACAGGAGAGAATCCTTAATCTATATTATTACTTTTAAATTTAAAACTTAGAATTTAAGAAATAAAGCATAATTAGATATTTAGTTTCTTTTGCTTAAAATATTTTTGTAATTTCAAAGTTTTTAGAAATTATTTAAAAAGAGTAAAATTTATCAAAAATAATATGATTTATTTAAAGTCAAACAATAATAAAAATAAAAGTATGTTAAGTATAGATTTATTTGTTTAAGCAAAAGATACTTTAATATTTTGATTATGGAATTAATTTAATAAATAATTTTATGAATAAAAATGGGTGATAGATTTAAATTTTACAAAGATTATATATGACTCAATAAAAAAGCATGAATCCATAATGTGAAGCAATAATTAAAAATATAATTTAGATTGTTTTTAAATAAAATTATGTTATCATTTAATCGTCACTTCTAAAAATTTTAAATAGATTGACAGATAAATAGTCAATTTCATAATATATAATCAAGATAATATGTAAATATTTGATATAGATTTTTCTAGTGAATATTAAATTTATAAAAATTGATGAAATCAAAACAATATTATGATAACATGTCACTAACATATATTGCTTTTGTAACATATAATAAATTACGTCAATAATTAATATAATCAATATTATTAAATGATTATGCTTAACTTTTTATTTAAGTATTTATCATTCAAATTATTAAAAATTAGTAATTGTAAGGTAAGTTTGATTTTTGATTTTGATTTTGACCCTACCAAAAAAAAAACTATTTAAAATAATTATAACAATAACCACTTTCTTAAAGACTTAACTTGAGAAAATTACAATAGTTATATTTATTTAATTACTTATCTTAGATAATAAAATTATTAATGTAAGTAAAATACCTAGTTAAGTATTCATTCATTATTGAAAGTTTTACATTCAGGTATATTCAATAGTTATAAATTCTAGAGTATAAAACCATTAATTTAATTTTTTAATTTATATTAAGTATATTACCAAACTAGTTTTTTTGTATTTTTTATAAAATTAATCAAGCAAATAAAATCTATAAATATAAATTATAAATTTACTAAAACAAATTAGATGTGTAACGATATTATCAAACAATAATATATAAAAGTAATACCAAAGTGAATTCTATTTATATCAAAATGCCTATAACTAAGGTATATTTAATTTATTATAAATTAACAAAATTTATCTTTATAATCATGAAATAAATTTTTAAAAAATTTAATTCAGGTGAAAAAGCTATAATTAGCATTTTTTTATTAATAATAATACCATCAATTAAAATTCTAAAAATATTGTATTTTTTTTCATTTTACTTTTATCATTATTTGTATATTGTAAGATGTAAAAAAAAAACATATATCAAAAAGATTAGCTTTATTCCAAACACATATAGATATGGATATGTGGAAGAAATTAATGGGTAAAAAATTTTGATATATTCTAATGAAAACTATTTATTAATTAGGCTCAAGGGATTACCAAATAAGATTAGATTTTAATATTTATCTATATCCGAACTGATTGAATGATAGAAATTAAATGCTTTCAAATCAAGTATAGTTTATATTAATTTGATTACACTGCAATCAGACATATAAAATTGATTACTTTGAAATATTATAACATTTTAATATTTTTTATTCAATATATTTAGCTAATTATTCAATTTCAATTTTGTTTTTGAGATTTATATTCTAGTTTTTAATGATTTATCAATATTATTTTTTAAGATTACTTCTATATTCTAAAATTAAAAATCAATTATTAATTTTTTTTTTTTTTTCCATACAAATGTATCTCAAATGTATTAAATAACTATTGTGAATGTTCATTGTTTTTTTTTTTGATTTTCTTTCAAATAATTTAATTGCTTTGAAATTCTAAAAATTAACCTTTACAAAAAGTAGTGAATAGTGAGTATTCATTTTTTTTTTTTTTGATAAGTTAAAGCAAACTAAAAATTATTTCATAAAAATAATTCAATCGATTAAATTTTAATCCTACTACTATCTTAATAAAATTTTAGGATATATTAACACTTAATAAATTGTAGATAAAACAAGAAATATATTTTATAAATAACTTTTCGAAATATTATGTATCATAAATTTTATAACCAATTTCTATAAATTCTAAAAGTCTTTCTAGAATAAATTAGTTTTATTATGAAATAATAGATTTGAGATGATTTCAGGTTGTTTTTGATATTTTATCAAATTGGTTAAAAAACACGAATATTTTTTATTATCAATGAGCACAAAAATTTCAAATAATATTTCTTTGTAATTTGGAGTAATCACAATTAAGTATTAGGGTTTTTTTAATATTGTAAAAAAATTACAGAGACTTTTAATCAATAATCGAAATTCACTTGAAATGTAAAATTTAACAAACTGGAAGCATAGTAATTCCACTTATTAATCATAGGAGTAACTTTTTCAAAAAAAATTTTAATTCTAGAAAGATATTGTTTGTTTATGTTTCAAAGTATGAAATTTATTTTTTTTATGCTTGACTTATTTTAGAAATTGCTAGTAACAACGCTAAATAACTGATTATAGATAGAATAGATAGTACTTGTTAAAAATTTTTGAGTTGACACTGTTTTAAATGTATTTTGAGATTAATTCCGATTTGTTGTTTCAAATAAAGTGAAAAAGAAAATCTAAAAGCTAATTTGAGATAGAAAAGGAGTTTCTTCTAAATTATCTTTGCTACTTAATTAAAATAAAATTTTACCTGATTTTTTGTTAAAAGAAAAAATATAAAAACAGGCTGATTAAGATTTAAAAAACTAATAGATAATCCTTGAAAGGTATTAAAATAAGTCAGTGAGATTGCTCTAATTATCATTTTATCAGCAAGAATAATAATTAGAATACTATCTTAGAAAAATAATAATAATGTAGATGATTAGAAATACACATTCAAATTCAGCAAAATGTTTATACTTTTCTCATTTTAATGGTGCGTTTATTTAAATTTTATTAAAGAAGTGTAATCTAAAAAAAAATTAAAATTTTTAAAAAAAGAATGAAGAAGAAATAACCTGTTCTAAAAAAAGATAATTATTAATTGTAATAAGATCTGCTGTTTCAGTCAGTCCAGAATTTTTCATAAAAAATTTAATAACTTGTAGAAAAATAAAAAACATAACTAACTCAATTTACATTAATTGATATCTTTAAAAGATCCTCAATCAAATTTTATGTTTGATTGTTTATTTGTTCAAGTTTTTCATTTTGTAAATAACTAATGGTTTCTGTTTTTACAATATATTAAAAAGTTATTTCGTTAAATTGAAATTATTTTTTTGAAATGAAATCATTTGTATTTAAAAATATTTAGGAAATGCAATCGTTAAACTTTCAAATAATAAATATTATTTAAAATGCATATGTTTAGCTTATTTTTATTATTTATCTAGTCACCACAGATAAAATAGAGTAAAATGTAATTTTTTAATTTTTTCACCAAACAATTTAAAATAGTTAATGAAACGAAAAATCTTTTAAATTGTAAGGTTAATGAGGAAATTTAAACTAACTGATGAAATTATAAATTTAGAAATAGATTGAAAATAATTATAAAATAGTAACTAAGTATTATCTATGATCAAGAGAAAGGTTAGCACAAAACTTCTGCTTAAGTTAAATATTTCCTCTCTAAATTAGAGTTTCTTTTTTTAGATTAGTTAATAATTTATCTTTATTTCGAGTTCTTTATGTTCTATAGATCATTATATATTTTATATCCATATAATTTAAGATAACCAGCACATAGAAATCTAATATTTTAAAAAACATTTATCAAAAAAAAAGCAATCACCTTTCTTATATTTAATTAAAACCATAGAATCCATCTATAGCCAGTGATTTAAATTTATTAATAAAAGAAATTGTGTGGTAAATCAATAACAATATGTTTCGTGCTTCATGTCCAAAATTATAATTTTTCAATTAGAAAAAATAATTACTGCTTAAATTCATCATGTTTATTATTTTAGGGATAATTTAAATTTTTTAAATTATGCTTTTAAATTTTTAGTATGATTTTTTCAGCAAAGTAAAAATTTCCTTTAAATTTTATATAATTATGACTTATTCATGAATGAAGAGAAAGATAATCAATCAATGTTTCTCTGATATTAAGCAAGTAGATCAGATTTTTATAATCAATATTTTTTTTAACTTACTAGTTAAAGCTATTAGAATTATTTCGTCTTTAATTTACTTTATCTTATAGTCTACTATACTTCTAATAATATTCTTGGCTATTACAAAACAAATACACCATTAATAAATATTTGAAATATTTAATTATAAAGCATGTGTAAATGAATTTTTGTGATCCATAAATTTAATTAAAACCTAAATTATTATGATTGTTTGGTTATACTTAGGCATGAATAAAATATGAAGCTGGTCACAACTTACAAATTAAAGCTGCACCTTTTTCTTTAATCAGTAATGTGCCAGTACTGCTAAAAGAAATCCCTAAATATATGACTAATTTATTTATTAGTTATATACCCTAGGAAGACTCAAAAAATTAAAAATGGAGTATTCTAACTTAGCGAATTATTGGGTAGAATATCAAAATCAGATAAATAGAGAAAAACAACAAATACTGGATTAATAAATATATTCGTATATTAGCATGCGCTAGAACTGAGCATAGATATTTCAAGTATTGATCAGGAAAAAATAATTATTTGCTATTAAATGTAAATTTGTTATTATGAGTAAATAAATCACTCTTGGCGGAATTAGTATAAAGAGTCTTTATATAGATCGATACATACACTGAAATAGCAAAACTAAATTTATTTACATTTTTAAAAGATTTATTAATAGATTATTTTGATTCAGCAAGCAGTACTTTAAGGGTCTAAATTTATTAAGTGGATTTCCTTTTCCTAAAATTTACATATTTTTAAAAATAATATGTTTTTTTGCATTTTACAAACAAAGTGAGAAATAAGCTTGACTTAACTTAAAAATGATTAACACTCTTGCATTATTATTAAAAAGTATATTTATTGCACATTAAATTATGAGTCAATTAAAAAATTGTGAGGAGGATATTGATTTTAAATACTTGATTAATTGTTCTTTTGGAATTGTTTGAAAAGGTTACAAGATTTATTTTTCCTAATTTAATAAGTGAAAGCAAAAGAGGGGAGGAGAACAATTAAAAAATATAAAGGCACACATAAATATTGATAGATAAGTTAATAAAGTGATAAAAAAGCTAACTAACCAAATACATATTTTGCTTGATGAGAATGTATAAAATTTGTTAAATATTTGGCAGCAGACACTCACTAAATTATAATAGATGCAGGTTTAATCAAATGGAGGATTTACGCTATATAACAAATTAAATCAAGTAAAGCATAAATCTTAACTTTTTTAATTTTTATTGCGACATATCTTAATTAAATTCTTTTATTTCATTTTTTATTAAGGATTACAGTGAGGAGAGTATTGTGGAAAAATCTATTGAATATTCAAAATTTTAATTGATATTTCACAGATTCTCAATTCTAATTTCTTTTGTAAATCGTTTATTGATTTTTTATATATTTTAGAATTCATCAAATTAAGAAAAGGTATAGGAAAAAGAGAGAGAAAAATTAGTTTGTATTTACTGCTATTTACAAATAATAAATTTAACTCTCGTAATGCGAGTTTACAGTAGTACAATCAATCTTAAATACTAATGAACTAATTAATATTGCGAATTGATAAACTATAAATACCATAAAAATTAAATTGCATTTGACCAATTTTTAATTAGCTTATTTTCAAATACCATTCTAGTAAATTTCTTAAATTATTATTTTAAGAGACTTCTATAGGATGGCTCCTTTAAGGATTATTTTTTATTTTTTTTTATTTTATGTGAAGTTTACAAAACAAGGGAAAATCATACAAATAGGAACAAATAGTCTTGCTTTTTTATGTTTTTAGTATGCGAATATCTCATCTAAATAAAGGGAGTTAGTTATTTAATTGCAAATTTTAATTCATTAAACTAATTATCTAACAAATTTTTGATAGTTGATTTAATTTACATTTACACCAATGTATATTGAAATGAATTTTCCAAAAATAAGTCTTATCAATAAAACCTCTTGATCAATTTATTTATGTGTAAACTCCTCAGAATATTAGCAATGGCATTCGCAAAGTAGATCTGATTAAATAAAATGTAAAACAAAATATTTTTAGAAATATCACCTAAACTCTATAATTACTCCTAAATTATTATTTTACTATTACCATAATGCTAGTTAGAACCTTGAAATTTTATGAGGCCAGCAAAAAATTACACTTAAAATCCGAAGATAAGTTAATTTTATTGTCTCTTCTATGCTTTTAAAATTTTAAGTAACTAGGAGCTTTCATTCTTTTGTGAGAATTAATGAACAAACAGGATTTTTAAAACTAAAAACCTTTTATGAGGGAAAGTTAACTTTATATAACTACAGTTTATTATTCACGCCAGACTGATTATGAATTAGGAAAGCAAATAAAATAAGATAGAAATTAAATCAGAATTAAGATAGTGGAAAGCGGTAGGGTTAACAAATAATTTTTAAGCAAAGGGTATGTCAATCTATCTACTATTTTAATTAATTTAAGCGCAGCTTAATTTTTGATAATAACAAATATTCTCATATTTATAGATAAATGAATGACTAACAAACAATTAATTAGATTCTTTTTTATTATTCTTACTTACCTTTATTTTTTACATGATTTTTATTGAATTCATTTATTTATTTATTTGGCTGGGCTATAAAAAATGACAAGCAAAATAAATTATTAAGACAGAGAGATTCATTGATTTCACTTGGGGAATGAATAAACAAAAGAATGAATGAATATACTTCAAATTGAAATTAAATTTTGCACTCAGATTTAATTGCTCTTCTAACCAATTAATTCATTCATCAACCAAAATTCTCTCTATTGATTTATATGCACATTTATTTATTAGCATTTATAAATTAAGTTTCAAACAGAATTTCGACCTATTTCATGTAAATTAAAAAGTGATCGCGAATAACTATGAATTTGATATAATTTAATCCAAACAAAAAAAAATTAAAAGCAACAAAAAAATCACTCACAATTTTAATTAAATCAAATAAACATAATATAATACAAATAAATGAGCTACAAAATGGAATCATCAATTGACTCAAATTCCTCCAAGACCTCTAACTATTACAACGAAGTCTATGAAGACTTCAGAAGACAAGCCTTAGATTTTTATGGATCTGAACATTCTTAAAATCTCCTCTCCACTGATGTCGAGAAGTGCTTAAAAAAGAGAGCTGATGCCTTTATTAACAAAGAAAGAAAGAGTCTCTTCTTATTCCCCTGCATCAACGATCTCTCTAACGTCCCTGACGATGATGATGAGCCCAGCATTCCTTAGAAGTGCTTGGAAAGTCTCTTCGGCAGCAAAGTCAAGGTTAGCTTGAGCAGAAGAAGTAGTGATGCTGAATCAACAAACTCTTCTGAAATAAAAGACTTATCCTCAATAGTTCAATCTAAATAAGCCTTATTCAGAAAAAATCAAGAATCTTTCTGAATAAAAATTAATGAAACTGCTAATTAAAAATATTCTGAATAAACAAGCTTTTATTGAAGGATTTTCATTTGAAACTTCTTTCATTTCAACTACTATCCAAAACTAATTTGAAAGAATACTTGGTTAGGCTGATAATAACTGTTGAAAAAAGATTTAGATTAAAATTAATTCTTAATTATGATTAGATTTTATCTTATTGATTATTAATTACTGCTAATTTAGATATAAAAGAAATACAATAATTATTACTATAGCCACTGCAACCACTACTAATATTTACTTGAAAAAGCTTTAAATTATCATAAATAAATGCATTCAAACAATCGAATAAAATAAATAGCTTAAAGTAAATAAAACCAAAATGAAAGTATTCTAAAAATAGTTAAATACTAATTCACTAATCTTATTAATAACAAATTTATTTAAACATATATAAACCCATTTAATCAACTATTTATTTATAAAATTTTGTACTTAATTCATATCTACATGTATAAAGATTGCTTTTAATAATTTAATAATATTCATTCAATTCCATTTCTCAAAATTTCAAAAAATTCAAATTGCCTTAGTAAATGTCATAATTTTTTTTACTGCTCACCTATTAAATCGTTGATATAGTTAGCTAATTTTTTTATACAAATAAGTTCTTAATTATTATTAATCCATTTAAAGTGAGATAAAATACTCCAATTAATAAGAGATCTATTTTAAGAAAAGGATCTTATTGTTAGTCTTATAATAGAAATTTAAATATGATGCAATAAATAACTCCTCAAAATCCCTTCAAGTATTTAAAAATAATCTTGACTTCACATAAATTATTAACAATCTGAATAATGACAACAGAATTTGAATTATTAATAGGCCTTTAATTAGAATAAATAATAATTATAAATTGATTGTTTGATTGAGTGGCTACCGAAAGTAATAAAAATAAGATAACGATTAGTTTATCTAAAAAAACACTAGCTTAACTTAAATAATTAGCTACTTTTAAAAATTATCAAGGTATACGAACTTGTATATTCTTATATGGCGATGGGTTGTAAGTTAAGTTAGCTACGTCTCTTTGTTAAAAATAATCAATTAAATTTTATAAACATAGGTGTTAGCTATTTATATTCACTAACAAAAAAATTAAAAATATGTTTTTTCTTTCCATTCATTATTAAATACAATACAAACATTCATAATAAAATAGAAGAAAATATAACAAAGAGAAATAAAAAAATAAATAAATATTCTGGCGAAATAAAAAATTAACAAATCAAAATAGGACTTACTTCCTTCTCTATTTCAGAAAGTAAATAAATTATTTCTTCCCTTAATATACAAAAAAAAATCTTAATGTGTAAATTTAAAATCACAAAAAATTTAAAAAAATTAATTGGAATTCTTAACGTTAGAGTGTAGACCTTTAACATGTTTCGTATATTTTATTTTTATAATAAAAAATGTCCATCATGATCTTGTTTTAAAATTAAAAAAATAAGGGTATTTAATACTTTATTTCATTTTAGATATTATCACCAAAGTAATGCTAATTTAATCAAAGACTAATTTTGTATTGAAATATATATAAAACTCCAATTTTTATATCAAAAATGCTTTTGATAAGGGAATAAGGAGAATGCTTCAATAAAATGAATAATACTAATTTTAAAAAATATTCTCTAATAAAAATTTCTATATTATTATGACTATACAGTCTTAATGACAAGCATTATAATAGTAGCTTCAAAAGCAACATTTAAATAGAAACAAATATTTATTGTTATAAAAAGCCATTTTTAATTCATTACAAAATAAATATTGGGGAAAACAAAGTATTTCTAGAGTAGTAAACTAAAAAGTTAAGTAAAATTAGAATAAATTTATCTTGCTAAAATAATAAATACATTAAAATTTATAATTATTAGCAATTTTATCATATTATTTAGGGTTCATAGGTTATATTTGAAATAATGTAAACTAAGCAACTGCAAAAATATTACTTCCAAATCTCTAATACAAATAGAAAATACTATTTAAATAATTAAAATAATGATGCTTACAGAAGCAAAATAGTTTTTATAAAGGTTCGTTTAAATACAATATTAGTATTAGGTTGTTTTGATAAAGATAGATAAAAAATATTATAAAGTAAAGTAAAGTGATCTACAAAAGAAGTGTGGGGAATTATTAAATAACACTAATATAAATAAAAATTTGATTTATTTGTGATTATAATGGTAATATTTTTTAAATAATTTAAAAGTTCTATTGTTCATCAATGAATTCTTTTACATCCATAATATCGCAATTTTTAAATGATTATAATAAAAGAGGCAATTGGGTATTTAATATTAAAAGGAGAGCGAATACTTACATCATTTTTATATTTCTATTATTTATAATTTAAGAAGAGACTAGAAAAAAACTATTGTTGCATTATTAATAAAATAAATTATGGATATGATAAGGAGTTTACAATCTTTAGTAGTCCTAAATAAATTTTCATACTTTTTTATATTCTAAATATTATCTTCGCCTTCTTTATATGCATCACTTGCCTCTATTAATTTACACATATTTTTTAATGATGATTCATTTAATTAAATAAATGCTAAGAAAATTCTTTGACTTCCTAGTTTATAATTTTAATTTTTAAAATAGTTCTGAAATAGCTTCTAAATTCGATGAGAATTATTAAATCTACATATAGTCTAATTTTCCTCAATTTATCATTTAAATCCTATTTCCTAAAATCTTTTTATAAAATATGTAATAAAAGAAAATTGGATAAATTTAATAGTTTCAACTCTTATCAATATTTGTTTCAATAATCTCCACAAATTATTTGAGGATAAAAATCAGTAGTAATCGCTAAAAATTTGCATTACTTAACAATATTCACAAACTATAAAAAGCAAAAACCTGATTATTACCCCCAAATATATGTATTTTAGAAAAACCCAAAAAAAAAAGTGATTATTTGTCTGTAAAATATATACCTTTTTAAAGTGACATATTAATAGAAAGCGTTACAACATTTAATTTTCATAGATTTTGTTCATTTAACGAATAGGTATTAAAAATAAATGATTATTTACTATATCTCTTAAGAATTTTTATAATCAATTTATAAATTCTACATTATTTTAAAGCCATAATTAATTTTGTTACTCTCAATTTAGAGAAGCTAAAAAATAGCTATCTTGTCAATAAATTTATTTCTATAGTTTCTATTGTTTATTTTATCCTTTAATTTATCTAAAATACTTATAAATATTATTAACAGAATTTAGATATTTGGATTTTTGTATTTTTTAACAAAGTAACTTCTTTATGCTCATTTATATAATAATATATAGCAGTGATTTTTAATCATTTTATTTAAAATTCTAATAATAACTCAATCAACTTACACATAGAATTTGATCATAAATGAAAAAAAAATAGTTATAGTTAATTTTTTATTATTATTAATGAAGTAAAAAATTAATATATATTTTGTAATTATCAGATCATCAATCCATCGATTGATCGATTGATTATTATTATTTTAATGATAAATTTTACTATGAGAAATCAATTCATTTAAGCCTTCTTCTCTCTTAATTTAAGATATGACATATTTTTTGGTAAATAATTAAAATTTATATCGATAATGAATCTATTTAGTCGTATTTATTGAAATAACGGGACGCTGTTTCATATTTATTTTAATTTATGGGTTTTGTTTTGAAATTTTTCAGCTAAAAATAGTGTAATAAATACATTAGCTCTTCAAAATAGTATGAAAATCCATTTATTAGTGGGTATTATTTCCTATTTTTAAATATCTGATTAATAAATACATCAGTTTAAGTATATTCCTGTGAACTTTACAGTTTATTAAATATAGAATAAATCTTTATTTTTTATATTCGTTTTTTATTCAAGTATAATACTCTAAAATAATAGTGATTCAGTAATTATAGCGTTTAAAAAAATCGTGTTATGAGTTAGTGAAATAATCTAAAAGCTAACAAATGCATGCAGCTTTATTGATAAAGAAGAAGAAAGGCTCAAATAAATAGGTGTTTGAAATAGCATTCAGTTGCTAAATCATGAATTAAAAGTAAAAATAAAAATATGTACAGCTTTTGAATAATTAATTTTGTGGTAAGTAGAATATAAATTAAACGTGATTATACATAATAATATGTATCAGAAAAATTTTATTAATTATTATACAATTACAATTAAGTCTTTAAGCTAAATAGAAACAAAAATTTATTTAATTATTTTTATTATCAATTTTCCTTTGTTGATAAATTTACTTCAATTTTGAAAATTTAGTGATCAATATTTCTTTTAAATAAATAAATAAGTGATCTACTAACTTAATTTTTTTGCTCTTAACAACATAATTATTATAGTATATTTTTAATTTTTGATCAATATTTAATAATTTAAGTTATAATGATTGATGGTGACAAATGATATTTAAATTTCAATCATCAAGTTAAGTTAGAGCCGCTACACCTCTCTTAATCCAGTGCTTTGGCTAATGTTCTTGGGCTATAGGTAAATACATGCTCATTACAAAATTTGTAGAATGACCAGTAGTACTTAATGTACCAGCTCTACGAGATGTCTTGTAAACAGGGCATTCATATACCTTTTTAAAATAAGTTTTTAGCATTAATAAAATTCATATAAAAATATTTAATTAATAAATTAGATTACAGTTTTATCATTCTCATAATCTCTTCTCTCTTCGGTAGGTAATAGCCAGATGTAAGGTGCCTTTGAGCTCAAAACCTTTGGTAGAGATTCATCTAATACCTTTTTTTAAAAATTAAATCTTACTTAGTAAACAGAATTAATTGGAATATAAAACTTTATAATTCCACTTTACATAATTGATGTGTAATTTATTAAAAATTAACTGTTTTAAATTTAAATAAATAAAATAATAATCATTCAGAAAATAAGTGGAAAAATGTTTTTTAGTTTTTTAATTTTAAATA